CCAAAAGATGGCTCTGGCGACAGTCATCCAGATTTCCCTGAGGATGCGGATATAGATTTAAAAGACGTAAGTACTTTCAGATTAGTCAAACTTTAATTATTTGAATAAGTAAAAATATTTATATTTTAGTAAAAATTTTTTTTAAATATAAATATTTTTATATTAGTATTTAATATTTAATAAAAATACTAAAAGTTTGAGTTTCTGTGTCAGTCTCTCATATGATAGAATCTAGCATTAAACTGCGTTACTTACTAAAACCCAACATATTTATTTTTTTATACAGGTAGATAAAATTTTATTAATAACAGAAGACTTAAAAAACATTGGAAATACTTTTTTCAAATCCCAGAACTGGGAGATGGCCATTAAAAAATATGCAAAAGTTTTAAGGTAATATTATTTCTAACAAATTATTTTTACGAAATTATAAATTGAATTATAAACTAAAATTAAGAATTGCTCATTATATTTTTGCAAATTACTTGTGGAATAACCAGGTGTGCTGAAATAGTTGCATTTTTTTTTTCTCCTCAGCTTGTTTTGAAAAATTTCAAAAGACAAAAGTTGAAAGAGTAGTACATAATTACTCATACGTTTTACTTACATTTACCAATTTTTAACTTTTGCTGTTTTTGTTTTCACAGAACTATTTTGATAGGAAGTTGTTGACACTGGGATACTCTATCCTAAGTTTTTCAGCATGTATTTCCTAAGAAACAAAGACGTTCTACATAAGTTCAATGCCATTAAAACACTCCAAAATAATATTGATAGATAATATGTAATCCATATTTAGGTTCATGTCTGTAATCCCAGAACTTTGGGAGGCAGAGGCAGGTGGATCACCTGAGGTCAGGAGTTTGAGACCAGCCTGGCCAATATGGTGAAACCCACTCTATACTAAAAACACAAAAATTAGCCTGGCGTGGTGGCAAACGCCTATAACTCCAGCTACTTGGGAGGCTGAGGCATGAGAATTATTTGAACCTGGGAGGCAGAGGTTGCAGCAAGCAAAGATCATGTCACTGCACTCCAGCCTGGGTGACAGAATGAGAGTCTGTCTGAAAAAGAAAATAAATATGTATTCCATATTCCAACTTCCCCAGTTGTTTCAATTTTTTAGAAAAATCCAGGGTCCAAACTAAGAGTATGTGTTGTATTTGGTTGTAGTCTCTTTATTACCTATTTCCTACCTCCCCTGGTTTTTTACTCATTTACGTTTTTGTGGAGTCCAAGTCAGTTTTTATAAACTTCCATCTGTATGTGTTTGTTTCCTTAAGATTAGTTTGAGGTGAAATATATTGGCAAGAAGACTTAGGTGGGTGTTGTTTTATATTACGTGATAATCACATCTTGAAGACACATTTCGCTTTGGCCTGTTTGAGTTTGTACACGTGATTAAAGTATATGTCAGCCAGAAGCATTTGTTATGTAGTCTGAGGTGATACCGTGAAATTGTGTGAATATCCAGTCCCCAACAACCTTTCACACAGTGGATCTTAGCATCAATGAAAATCCATGTCTACATCTGTTATAATACTGATCTTCTAATTTTATCATTGTAGTTATTAACTAGCATTTTTCTGTTTGCAAGAGCCTCCCGCATATTTTTTAAGTATCACTATAGACCTGTGGATATTTTTCTTTTTTTCTTTTTTTTCCTTTTATAGAAACAAGGTCTCTTTATATTGCCCAGGCTGGTCTTGAACTTTTGGGCCCAAGCAATCCTCCCTCCTCAACCTCCCAAGTAGCAAGGACTAGAGGGATATGTTATGGGTAGTTTTCAATTCTGTTTGTTAGTACAGTATATTACCGTCATCCTTTTTCATGCCCAAAGGGTTCCAAATTTGTTCAGTGGAAGCCCCCTTTCCTTTGGCATGTTCCTCTTAGTCTGTGAGCACTTGCTTTACTTTTTGCACAGGATGTTCCAAGCTCATCTCACCTTGCTTTTAGATCTGATGTGGCAGTTTCTCCAAGGACCTCTGATTTCTTTCAGAGAAAGGAAACTTTAGAAACCAAATTCTGGGGGGCAAGTGGGCTCAGTTTCTGGGCCCTTTTCAGGGACAATGCAAAATCAGTGTGAATTCCCTTCTCCTGTTATGAGAATCCTAGTTCCAAACATAATTACGTTGGAAAGTACATAGGACCCGAGTTTTAAAAATAGAAAAGTGTTACTAGTGCATAATTAGATTTGGGAATTGGTCTTAAACTGGCCTCTTTGAACACTTTGGGAAAAAAAGTTGGAACAGAAAAAAATTAAGCCTTCTTAAGAAAAATAAGTAATAAAATTGTGATCATTATGATTAATATTTGCATTTTTAGAGCTTTTTATGACAGAAATGACATAACACTTCTGGACATAGAGAAGAAGAGTAACTCTTGTTTATGTGGCCTTTCATACTGCTTTAATTAATGCATTCTGCAGATATGTTGACAGTTCTAAGGCTGTTATCGAGACAGCAGATAGAGCCAAGCTGCAACCTATAGCTTTAAGCTGTGTACTGAATATTGGTGCTTGTAAACTGAAGATGTCAAATTGGCAGGAAGCAATTGACAGTTGTTTGGAGGTAAGTCTGTTTGATCTTGAACTTTTTGAATAAGTTGGATTATGACTTAGTTTGAATAGTAACAATTTATATATATATAAATATATCTTACTGTGTAGGACCTAATGAGGCTTAAAAAAACACTTTGGTTCTAAGTATTTTGGACCCTCAGTTTTTTCTCTCCATTCATTTTGCTTATAACTGTCACTTAATAGCTATGAAGATCCTTATTTTTTCTCAAAGCACATATATCATCAGCTCATGTATTCACTTAAGAGCACCTACTATACATTAGGCACTGGAAGACAAAGCCAGGAATGATTAAGAATGTGCGTTACGGAGTCACTCAGGCATGGCTTTTTTGTTTTTATTTTTTTTGAGATGGAGTCTCACTCTGTTGCCCAGGCTGGAGTGCAGGGGCACGATCTTGGCTCATTGCAACTTCTGCCTCTTGGGTTCAAGTGATTCTCCTGCTTCAGCCTCCTGAGTACCTGGGATTACAGGTGCACGCCACCACGCCTGGCTAATTTTTGTATTTGTAGTAGAGACAGGGTTTTGCCATGTTGGCCAGGCTGGTTTCCAAACTCCTGACCTCAGGTGATCCACTGCCTCAGCCTCCCAGAGTGCTGGGATTATAGCTGTGAGCCACTGCGTCCAGCCAGCTTTTTTCAAAAATTAGATCTCTGCTACTCACTAAGTTGCTTTGTAGTTTTTAAGTATGTTGTTAATTTTGCCTACCTTATAGAGTGGTTACAGAAGTTTATATAACATAAGGCATTTAGTGTAGTGCCTGGCACATTTTAAGCACCTGATAGAGACTAGCTATTTTAATTAAAAGTTCCATACCCTCAAGAAGCTTAATAAGTTATTCAGGATAGGAGGGGGGGCAGTTTCAATTTAGGTTCATCAAAACTTGTGTATGGGAATGGGTACTATTGGAACAGGTCATTCATTTTTAGGAGGGCCATCCAGGTATGCTAATTGATAAAGCTAGAAAGGTAGCAGCTTTACCTTCCTCAAATAGAGCAATTACAAATCTCTTTCTTGTTGTATAGTTTGAAAAGTTTTCCAATGAAACATTTTAAGAATTTTACATATTATGCCATGTTCCTAGACTATCTATGCTCAGAGAAAGTAGAACTAAAATGAGATCCTAATTTGGTAGGGTAGGTGGAATAAGGAATAGGAATACATTTAGAAGGGAGCATACAATAGAGGAAAAAACTTAACCAAAAGAAAAGATGGTTCTTCACTCTGGATTTCCTTTTCTTTTAAGACAAGGTCTTGCTCTGTCGCCCATGCTGGAGTGCGATGGTGTGATCACAGCTCACTGCAGTCTCAACCTCCTGGGCTCAGGTGATCCTCCCACCTCAGCCTCCTAAGTAGCTGGGACTACAGGCACTCGCCACCATACCTAGCTGATTTTTAAATTTTTTATAGAGATGGGTTTTTGCCCTGTTGTCCAGGCTGGTCTCTTAACTCCTGAGCTCAGGCTGTCCACCCACTTCAGCCTCCCAAAGTGCTGGGATTACAGTTATGAGCTGCTGCACCCAGCATCTCTTTTTGACCTGTGAGGCAGATAATAAAATCTGAGTATTGGCCTTTAAAAGATGTTAAATAAACAAAAGATAATTTTAATATGTTTGTTCAGGGGAGAGACCTAATGTATAAAGTCTCTTAGGTTAAAAGACCTTGTGAGAAAAGACCAAGGCTGAGTAGGGTGGTTCATGCCTGTAATTCCAGTACTTAGGGATGCCAAGATGGGTGGATCAGTTGAGCCCAGGAGTTCGAAATCAGCCTGGGCAACATGGTGAAACCATCTCTAAAGAAAGAAATTAACCTAGTGTGGTGTACATACCTGTAGTCCCAGCTCCTCAGAGGCTGAGGTGGGAGGAGCACTTGAGCCTGGGAATTCAAGGCAGCAGTGAGCTGTGATCAGGCCGCTGCACTCCAGCCTGCCACACCCTGTCTTAAAATTTAAGAAAGATATTTTAAGAGTTATACAAAGTTATTGTTCCTAAAAAACCTATAATTCAAGTATGAGTATATATAGATTTTTCTTCAAAGTGATTTTCTTTTCTAAGTGTTAGTTCAGGCCCATTCAGGAGATTGAAACACAGTATGAGAGAAACATATTGGAAACTGGTAGAGAAATGTCTTTCTCCTCCATGTCCATTTAGTGCCCTCTACCGACAAAACTTAGTGCCCACTGGCAGAGGAGAGCTGTTTGCAGATTTCAGCTCCATTTTCACAGAGCAGTGAAGGATGGATTTGGAGTTGATAGGCAGTGAGTTGAGATCTAACATACAAGCTTTTAATACTTAATACTTTGATATAAATACTAGCTTTATCCTTTTTTATAGGCTCTTGAAATAGACCCATCAAATACCAAAGCATTGTACCGAAGAGCTCAAGGATGGCAAGGATTAAAAGAATATGATCAAGCATTGGTAAATTTTGTTTGTAATGTTTAATTTTTTAAAACAGACAACTACCTTTATAAATCAAACACTTAAATGTTTTTTTCCAATTAAGGCTGATCTTAAAAAAGCTCAGGAGATAGCACCAGAAGATAAAGGTAAGTTGGCCGTTTTTATAGTGAAAGTTAATTTTGTTATTTAAGAACGTATCCTCAGGAATCATTGTTCACTTTGCCAGATTTTAGATGTTTGTTCAACAGGTATTACAGAATACCTGCTGCTGGGCCAGGCATTATCATATACCAGTGAACAAGACAGTCAAGGTCCCTGCCCTCAAAGAGCTTACATTCTACTCCCACTCAAGAATATACTAGTTTTTCACATTGTTATCCAAGTTATTATCTCTGTAGTTTTATTTTACATGTCAGATACTGTTTGTTTTATGATGTTTCCATTCTGGTTATTCTCGTCTAGAGCTCGGCATTGAAAGACACAGTATTCATGGTAAATTTAACATCTGGGACCATTCTTAAGCTGAATGTGGCCATAACCAGTTATCAAAGTACTGTGTTTTAGTAAACTTTGACAAAAATAAGCTTGTTTTTCAAGTAAACCAACGATGAATACCAACACTAGATCTGGATATTAAAAAATATCTTTGGTTTCTTATTACCGAAATGAAATAAGGAGGCAATTACTGTTCTCTGAGGTAGAGGGAGAAGGCAAATCTTTATGTACTTGTTCTCTCGGTTGACAGTCCTCTAAAATTAGGCTTCATTTCTGTTTGTGTGATTGCTCAGATTTTCTGTTACTAGGGCTTAGTGACTTTATGAAGAAGTTTTTTCAAGGGGGAGTTAACATGTTAAAACTGTTAGTCACAATAATTTTGGGGATGTTTTGAGAAAAAACTCATATTGCATATTTATTTTGCAGCTATCCAGGCAGAATTGCTGAAAGTCAAACAAAAGATAAAGGCACAGAAAGATAAAGAGAAGGCAGTATATGCAAAAATGTTTGCTTAGTAAGGAATCAATTTTGTTTATTGTGTGATTGTATAAATGCAATAAGAAAATTTAAAGGTTTTTGTTTATCAATACGATCCCTAATGTTTCTTTTTATACCTCAGTTCCTCATTGTTTACAGTTTAGGAGTACTGATAGGGGTTCATGCTTAATAAACATGTTACAATACAGTAAGTAAAGTATTTTTTTGTTTGTTTCTTTGGAGACAGAGTCTCGCTCTGTCACCCAGGCTGGAGTGTAGTGGTGCGATCTTGGCTCACTGCAACCTCCGTCTCCCGGCTTCAAGTGATTCTTCTGCCTCAGCTTCCTGAGTAGCTGGGACTAAAGGTGTGTGCCACCAAGCCTGGCTAATTTTTGTATTTTTAGAACAGTGGGTTTTTACCATATAGGTTAGGCTGGTCTTGAACTCCTGACCTCATGATCTGCCCGCCTCGGCCTCCCAAAGTGCTGAGATTATAGGCGTGAGCGACCACACCGAGCTAAGTGAAATGCTTTTTAAAATGGTTATCTGCATTATTCATGAGGGATAATGGTGTTCAGTCTGATTTTAAACTTGTAAAGGCACATCTTGTTGAATAAAGAGATGAAAGCTTAAGTTTGTATATTGTTGCCTTCAATTCTTTAATGTATCTGTGGTTGGATGATGCTAGGTTTTCATACTTATAGATAATACATCCACATACTACACAAAACTTGTTCAGGGGTGGGCATATTTTTTCTGCAAGGGCCAGATCATAAAGTTTTTAGGTTTTGTGGAACATGTAATTTGTTACACCCACTCAACTCTGAGGTTGTAACTCAAAATCAGCCGTAGACGATATATAACCAATGGGTATGGCTGTGTTTTCAATAAAACTTCATTCATAAGTGGTGAATGGTTCCTGGCCCCTGGTCTAGAATATATATATATTCATTTTTGTATTTGAATACTTTACTTTGGCAAGTCAAATGTAAAGTCCAGTAGTGAATTTTGCTCTTGGAACTGAATCTCTGAAGAACTGAAGAGGTAGGAAGATGCTGCATTCTTATTATAAAGGTTAAAAGAAATAATTTTTTTATGGGACAATCTTAGATATAGTATAAAATTTTTACTTGATCGTTTTGTGACTGTTCAGTAATATACAGAAAGATATTTTGACATGTTAATCTCTAAACATTTTAAGTTAGCTTGCCATACTTTAAAGAAACTGGTTAGTTGCAGTTTACATTCCATTGTAAGCAGGTCCTCCTCCACCTTCAGGTACCACCCAGTTAATATTCTGACTTGGATCTTTAATATCACATGTTTTACAATGCACACAGTTCTGAGCATTTATCTGTAACCGAAATCCATCACTTTGTTCCATGGGTACAAATTCATACACTCCTATAAAGTAAAAATAAGTAATATTGAAGTGCCTAATTTTAAAAACGTTTTAAATTCAAAAGTAGAAATTTAAGAGTAGCCACAGAAGCCTTAAAGGTTGCTTTCTGAATGCTTACCCATAGAGAATATTATGAAGACCTTGGTACATTGCTATTGATGTGAGTATAAATTACATGTACATAATAAAAGAAGGTACAGCAGTATTTGGCTGAGTAGTCTCACTGTCGAGGGTACTTGACACTCAGTGTTTGAGTTCCACACAGCATCGATTTATTTCACAGTAGTCCTTTCTTATTCATGGGGACAAGTTCCAAGATCCCCAGTAGATGCCTGAAAGCTCAGGTAGTACCCAACTTAGGCTGTCAGAACACATTTCTGTTCATATCTTTCACCCACAAATGTGATGCCTTTTCCAGCTTAAGGAAGCACTTGCCACACTCTGGCCATAACTTCTACAGTTCGAGGTCCAACAGCAAAACTAGCACAAATTTCTTTTTCCTCCCTCACACTTGCACAGAAGATATGGTCTTACCGTAGACCTTAGCAACCTCAGTATAGGATTTTTTTCTCTTTATAGAGAACTTTCTCCTTTTCACTTAAAGGAAGCACTTATGGCATTTCTGAATTGTCAGCATCACTACTCTTGTGTTGTGGGGACATTATTAAGTAAAATAAGGGTTATTGAACACAAGCATGATACTGTGACAGTCAATCTGATGATAACCAAGATGGCTACCAAGTGACAATGAGCTGGTTGCATATACAGTGTGAATACGCTGGACAAAGGGGTAATTCACATCCAGGGTGGGACAAGCCAGGATGGCACACAATTTAAAACTTAATGGGCACAATTTAAGACTTAGAAATTATTTGTTTCTGGAATTTTCTTATTTTTAGACCGTGGGTGTCTAGGGGTAAGAGGACCCTGATCGTACAACTAAAAAAACAAGTTAGATCCAGTCCTTAGTAACCTCAGCAAGTTAAAAACCTACTGTAATGACAAAAGCCAAAAGACCAATCACACTACAGCTTCTTTTGTGAATGTACTAGTTTTCAAGTATCTGAATACTATTGTTTTACCATGTCATTTGAGACCTGGTTCCTACTACTGTAATTTCAGTTGAAAGCTCAGCACTAAAAAAAAAGTCACGGTGAATTTCAAGTTTGGGAGCATTCCTTGGAATGAACGTGACCATAACCTGCTATTCTAGCATATTCACTCAAATAAATACATATGAGCTGCCATGATAGAAATGACTTTAAAAAGTCACATGAACATGCGAAGAGTATTTTATGTTCAAGAATCTTCATCTTAGTCTGTGCATAGACAAAGTTTTTTTTTCCTTGAGAAATGTCATCTGAACTAGACTTAACAAAAATTAACACCAGTAGTTAAAATTTCCTAAAGGAAGCTGGATGAAGAGTCATTTACAATTTCTAAGCAATGGAAGGAGATAACAGAAATCATTTTTTAAAAGAACAAAATCATATTCCTAAAATGGATAGAGCAAATACTTAGGAATAGATGGAAATCATTACCTGCAGGACAGAATCGCTGCTCGGGCCCATCATATATCGACAGATTTCTATTTACAGGTATACTGTCATCCCTTAAGGTTAAATGTGCCGGCTGGTCATGTTCATGATTAGTACCACTCAGAGCCACAGATGACAAGAGGTCAAAACTGATCTGCCCATCGGGTTTTGGATACTCAATAGGTGTGCAATCCTTGGCTGGCTTGAGCTGTTCAGAGTCAGAACCTTCAACAATTTTGAGGGAGATGCTTAACAAAATATAATTTTGAAGTACTTTCTTAAGCCTCTTTTTATAAAAGCTTTAAAGTATTACACCAATAATTACTAGTCTTAGACACTAAATTTATAATTTCTCTAAGTAAGTTTAAAACATTAAAATGATCACTTTCTCTACTAATTAATGGATCCCATTCATGAATTTTTAACACTCATACTCTCAAATATGTTTGAATTACCTTTATGTTTCAGAGTCCATGGCTCCATTCCTCTCAATATCCAGTAAAATATTCCAGTGTAAATCATCCCTCCATATACACCCAGTATTCCGTGGCAGGATGGTCTAATATTTCTAACAGCATATAGCTCTTTCCAAACCCATGATTTCTTCAAGTTGTCCTCATATTCAGTTACATGGAGTCCTTTTATTAAAAACATGAAATTTTAAGTGTGAAACTGCCCAGATGTGCATAAAATGTGCCAATATATTTTGCTACTTTGATACCTGATGAGTGATTTTGTTTTTCAGTTTTTTTTCTTTCTGAGACAGGGTCTTGCTCTGTCACCCAGGTTGGAGTACAGTGGCATGATCACAGTTCACTGCAACCTCCACCTCCCAGATTCAAGCCATCCTCCCACCTCAGCTTCCTGAGGAGCTCAGACCACAGGCACATGCCACCATGCCCTGCAATTTTTGGATTTTTGATAGAGGGTTTCGCTATATTGCCCAGGCTGGTCTTGAACTCCTGGGCTCAAGTGATATGCCCGCCTTGGCCTAAAGTGCTGGGATCACAGACATGAGCTACTGCACCTGGTTGATGAATCTTAGGTAATTTTAAAAAATATGATCCATACTTTCATGTATAAATGTTGGCATCTTCCAAAAAGATAACCATTAGATAAAGATGTTATTAATAGGCAATAAGGCATTTGATTTCTTATATTGGTAAATGGGAAAGTAGTTTCAAATTTTAGTGACACCGAGAAGCTTTACAATAAAAAGTTCGGCTGGGGACGGTGGCTCACGCCTGTAATCTCAGCACTATGGGAGGCCAAGGTGGGCAGATCACGAGGTCAGGATATTGAGACCATTCTGGCTAAAATGATGAAACCCTGTCTCTATTAAAAATACAAAAAAGTAGCTGGGCATGGTGGTGTGTGCGTGTAGTTTCAGCTACTCAGGAGGCTGAGGCAGGAGAATCACTTGAATCCGGGAGGTGGAGGTTGCAGTGAGCTGAGATGGTGCTATTGCACTCCAGCCTGGGTGACAGTGAGACCCTGTTTCTCAAAACAAAAACAAACCCACCACTTCATAGAATTTTATGTGAGCTAATGCAAGTGGAATACTTCCAACAGTGCCTGGCATGTGGTATGCTCCATATATGTGTACTGTCATCTGATGAATCATAAGCAATATAAATAAACTGCTACATAAAGAAAAAAGACACAGAGTTGGTCAGGGTGAGGATGAAGGCACAGATTGAAGTTATACTGCCAGAAAGCCTACAGCTATAGAAGCTAGGACATTCAAGAAAGGGTTAATCTGTAGAGATTTCAGAGTATGGTCCCGTAACCACCTTGATTTCAGACCTGTGGCTTACAGAACTTGGGAGTGAATAGTTTCTGTTGTTTTAAGCCACCCAATTTGTGGTATTTTTTATGGTAGCCCTAGGAAATCAACAATACCTAAAACTTGGTGCATACACTTAATATTTAAGAAGACAAAGCGGTTCCCTATGGCCTTTGGTGACTCCACATGACTACTTTTTCCAGTTATGGTTTCCTATCTGACTCCTTTTCTTCAGGCTTTAACGCTCAATCTAGTCTTTGGTGATATAATGGCTCCAGTATTATCTATGTGTGGTACTATATGCACATGATAAAGTTACAGTATGGCTGGTGGTCCAACAAGGAATGATACTTGATAATTAGAAAAAACTGCCCAGCCACTACACTCCACGTTGGCTATTCCATTCTCCCTGAAGTGCCCTCTGCCCTTTCTATTTTCCCTTTCATCTCCCCATGTGAGGCCTCCGATCCTACAAAGATATTTGAAGGCATAACCTGGTTACATACCTCTGACTAGAAGAATATTTACTGGGGATTCTAATTAAGACCCATTTATCAAGTATCTATGGAGTCGCTACTGTGTGTCAGGCGTTTAGAATTCACAGTAAGCAACACCCCTAGACTTTTGGAGTTTTCATCCAAGTGGCAGGAGACAAAAAGTTGATAAGTAAATTACATAATGTACCAAAAGGTGGAAAACGCACTAGAAAGGCCATGCAGGGGAACTGGGTGTGTGTTGTGAGTTAATTGGTGTGGTCAAGAGAGGGCCTCTGTGAGTGCTATTTAAACAAAGGCCAAGAGAACAAAGGAGCCAGACGTGAGCAAAGACCATGATATGCGAGTGCTTGGCATGTTCCAGGAACTGTGAAGAAGCCAGTGTGGCTGGAATTGGTAAAGAATCTTCTTAGATTAAGGGTTTACTGAGATGTAAGTGCCAGCTGTTTCTCTCCATCATGGCAGACAAGTCATATGCCTATACTTACAAAGCTTGCTAAAATAAATAGATAGCTAATTCTGCCTTCTGCAAAGCTGTTCTATTGATACGTCAGTATTTGGGAGGTATCTTAATTGTATATGTTACATGTATGCAATATAAATGCAGTACAGTCATATTTGTAATAGTTTCTAGCTAGGTGGGATACCACTGGTAACTTTTTCTTTTTTTTTGAGATGAAATTTTGCTCTTGTTGTCCAGGCTGGAGTGCAATGGCATGATCTCGGCTCACTACCACTTCCACCTCCCAGGTTCAAGTGATTCTCCTGCCTCAGCCTCCCAAGTAGCTGGGATCACAGGTGCCTGCCACCATATCCAGCTAATTTTTTTTGTATTTTTAGTAGACATGGGGTTTCACCATGTTGGCCAGGATGGTCTGGAGCTCTTGACCTCAGATGATCCACCCGCCTTGGCCTCCCAAAGTGCTGGGATTACAGGCATGAGCCACTGCACCGGCTACCAAGTGGTACTTTTCTACTTTTTTGGTGTGAATAAAACGGAACATGGTAGTAAAAAAATCACTGACTGTAATTATTGAGACAGGTCATGCAGTTTTCTCTGCATAGCATGCATCATAATACTTCTATAAAGTGACAGATACCAATCTTTTAATGTCAATGGAAATAGACATAACCCGGCAATTTTCTTTCTTATCCTTTAAGCAGTAATTTCTTACCTATTGTCTTTGATTGGAGATTTTCACTAGTTAGTTGATTAAAAATAGATTCTGCTGCCAAAATTCCACTTTTCATTGCTGTGTGAGTACCTTTGATCTTGGGAACATTCATGAAACCAGGACTACAACCAATTAGTAAACCACCAGGAAAGGTGAGTTTTGGTATAGACTGAGGAAAGAAAGATTCAGAATACATTTGTTAGCTCAAATTAAGTAAGCACAACAGAATACTCCAAATTAGTCTTTTTTATTTTTTGAGATGGAGTCTCACTCTGTTGCCAGTCTGGAGTGCAGTGGCTTGATCCCGGCTCACTGCAACCTCCTCCTCCCTGGTTCAAGCGGTTCTCCTGCCTCAGCTTCCCAAGTAGCTGGGACTACAGGCACATGCCAGCATGCCCAGCTAATTTTTGTATTTTTTAGTAAAGACAAGGTTTCACCATGTTGGCCAGAACAGTCTTGATCTCTTGACCTTGTGATCCGCCCGCCTCAGCCTCCCAAAGTGCTGGGATTACAGGCATGAGCCATTGCACCCAGCCCCAAATGATTCTTAAAGTCTTCTAGAGCTATGAGGAAAGGTTGAAAAATAAATAACATGAAAATGAATTGAGCAAAGGAATAAAACAGCAAGGGCAGTTTTCTTCTCCTGCCCTAAGAGTGAGGATTAGGACTATTACTATTTTCCTGTGAGAGTTTTTCTTTTTCTCACTGACTTACATGGGACAGACTCAGGACTGAAGCATCGATATGTTTCAAATAGAATGTTTTATTTACACATATCCATGTCATAGTTAGAATATTCTCTATACCTGAATGCTGTTCTCTAAATTGTGATTTGCTTGCAAATGAAAACCACAATGAGATATCATTTCACCCTAGTTAGAATGGTTATTATCAAAAAGACAAAAAATATGCTGGTGAGGATGTGGGGAAAAGAAAACTCTCATGCATTATTGGTGGGAATATAAATTAGTCCAACAATTAGGGAAAACAGTTTAGAGGTTCCTAAAAAAGCTACAAATAGAACTACCATATGACCCAGCAATCCCACTATGGGGTATATATCCAAAAGAAAGCAAGTCAGTATGTGGAAGAGATATCTGCACTCTCCTATTTATTGCAGCACTATTCACAATAATTGTCAAGATATGGAATCAAACCAAGTGTCCATCAACAGATGAATGGATCAAGAAAACATGATATATATGTATATATATATACATATATATAAATACACACACACACACACACACACACACACAGAATGGAATGTTATTCAGCCATAAGAATGAATGAAATATTGTCATCTGTGACAACATGGATGAGCCTGGAAGACACTGTGTTAGTCAAGCACAGAAAGATAAATATTCTATATTCTCACTCATGTGGAAGCTTAAAAAGTTGATCTTATGGAAGTGAAAAGTAGAACAGTGCCTACTAGATGATGGGAAGGGTAGAAAGAGATTGCAGGGGATATGGAGAGATTGGTTAATGAATACAGAAACACAGCTAGATAGGAGGAGTAAGTTCTACTGTTCTATAGCACTGAAGAGTGACTATAATAAAGAATAATTTACTATTTTTTTCAAATAACTAGAAGAAAAGATTTCAAATGTTACCAACACAAAGAAATGATAAAAGTTTGAGATGATGGATACACTAATTACCCTGATTTGATCACTAAGCATTATGCATATGTATCAAAATATGACATTGTACCCTTTCTCCCCTCAAAATTAAGTGGACCTGAGAATTTCAAAGGGTATATTAAAAAAAACCTGTGATTTGCTTTTACATGCATTCTGGGTAATACAAGGCTTTCAAAGCATACTGTATACTCTCTTTATGTCTGTTTGACAGCTAGGGATAGAAATCTATGCTCTAATCATGGCCTCACTGCAACTAGCTACTACCCTACACAATATATTTTGGTTAACTTAAGGACAAACTGAATTTCCAAAATAAAATTTAAGACAATTCTTTGGACCTTAGTATAATTTCTGATTAAAAAAAACTGTAATAAAGGATGGGATTTTTTCAGTTCAGACAATAAATGTCTATATGTATCCCTCAATATGGCAACTGAACTATAAATTATTTGCATCGGAAAATGTAGTCTATAGTTTGAAAAAAAAAAAGGGAGAGCCAAGCAGCATTGTTCCTTCCACATTCCATATTTTTTTCCTCTCTGAGGACTTCCTAAAGCCAGCCATGAGGTCTTTGCTGAGAAAATGGTGAGTGGTATGTTTGGCTGAGGGTACTGAGAGGGACTCAGAGGTGGGGGCTAACAGGAAAACTATTGACATCAACTGCAAAAGAGACATGGTGAGCACTCTATGGCCACAGCTCTCATCAATGATAAAATTCTGTGAGGGAAAGGTGGTGAAAAGCAAAACTAGGGGGCAGAAGGAATGCTGGTAAGAGAGAAGAATCAGGGCCCTGGTCCTTTCACAGTATATGTAAGGAATGAATTTATGACTCTGGTTCTCACCCAAACTCAATAATAGGACCACTTAGATAAAAGAGCATTAAATCAGGACCACAGAGCAGACAATGGGGAGTAAGTGCTATCTGGAAATGCTGAAAACAGATATAGATTAGGGACTTGGATAACCACAAGGCTTTGCTCAAATAAGGCTGTGGCTTTGTTGACACCAACTTTAATTCAAGAACCAGAAGAATGTGAAATTTAATAAAAGGATATAGATTATGAGTACAAGTTCTTCCAAAATAGCTGCTTAAATCCTAAGAATAAAAATGTTATGCCCAAGGAAAATATATGTTTTTAAGTTTTAGGAGGACCCCACGTTGGGTGGGCTGGGTTACTGGCAGCTATGCACCTTGTCTGGGACATTCATTAAACTAGGGCTACAAGTAATCCACTAGGAAAGATGAGTTCTGGTATAGGCTGAAGAAAAACGCTAGACAATATTTGTTAGCTCCAAATAAACAAAATTCAAAGTTTCGAATTGTTGCCTCTTCTTTTTCTTTACCTAAAGGAGAGCCACTAGCACGGTATCCTTTCCCTCTCACTCTCCCTAAGGAGGGAAAAACAATCATAAATGCTGAATGGCAGTTGCAGCAAAGCAACATCAAGAGGCCGCAGCATCCCGCTCTGGAGAGGACACCGCCTCTCCTCGCTCCTCCTCGTGGTTTCCATGCTTTGCTACACCTTCAGAGAAACTTCTCAAGTATTGAACTACAGAAATGACCCCTCAAAGCAGTCTTTGCCTTTTAAGGTCTTCAAAACCTTAAATTAAATAAATTTCTGAATCTCTGGCCAACAAAATCAGAAAATTCTGGTGAAAAGTGTGGGGGGGGGGAAGGGGAGGGGACAGTCATCTCCTCCTGACAATTTGCAAGTAACTTGACATGTTTGACATGCCTAAGTACACAGGGTAGATGGTTTTAAATAAAAATCTGTGTGTACTATTGGATATACTGAAACCTTTATAAATTACAAAGAGATTAGATTGTCGGTATCTATTAGGGACATTATTTTTAAAAGTTTAATAGGTTCAAATATAGTTATGTAATTCAATAAATATTTCTATCCAAGGAATTACTACTCTAGAAACAAAAAACAATCTCATGAGAAGTAGTCTCATGACAGACTTTGGGGACAGTGTTATTTTAAGATTCTAGTGATTATGTTTATAATGTAGCTATGGTTTTACTTGAGTTTATGAAATACTATTACAGTAATAAAGTATTTAGAACCTCACTTTTAAAGATAAGTCAATTTATCCTCCCCAAATTTTCCTATTATGTTACTTTTACAATAATTAAAAAAAAAAAGAAATCCAATTTCTAAGATAGTCCTAGATTCCTAGAATATTAAAGACAGAGGGATCATCTTTATTTTACAGATGATCTCTCAAGGCCAGAAAAGTTAAGGAACTTGCTCCAAATAATTTGGTGTAAGCTTTAGGGCAGATTTTCAGATCATCTTACCTGTATGATAACATTTCCACAAGTATTAACAGCTTTTATGACAGCTACTAGGTCTTATTTCATTGTTTAATTAATATATACTGAATAAATTACATAATATTTATTTTGAATGAACATAAAATAGGAAAATTAAAGTAAAAGCTTAACAGAAGTAACCTGAAAGGCATGAATGTTACTAGGTAGTTGGAATGAATGAATGATGTTTGCTGAAAACTAAATTTGCCTTTGAGTTTCCTGGTAGCTAAGGAATAAAGAGAAATATTATGGATTACAGTTTTTATTTTCTGGTCAAAACAACTAACAAACAAAACGTCCATGAATGTATATCTAGATATATATATATTTCCCACCCCCCCACTGAGATGGAGTTTTAACTGCTGCTCAGGCTGGAGTGCAGTAGCACAATCTTGGCTCACTGTAACCTCCACCTCCCCGGCTCAAGTGATTCTCCTGTTTCAGCCTCCTGAGTAGGTGGGACCACAGACACTCATCACCATGCCTGGCTAATCTTTCTATTTTTTGTAGAGATGGGGTTTCGTCATGTTGTCCAGGCAGACTGCCCAAGCAATCTGCCTGCCTAGGACTTCCAAAGTGGTGGGATTACAGACATGAGCCACTCTGCCCAGCCTAATCTATTCTTAAAACTAAATTCATGGTATAATTTAAGTATTGTGTGACACAGTTTTAAAAATGGCTATATACTTTTCTTATCCCTATGAGATAATTTTATTCTTTATCTAAATTTGTTACATTATATGTTCAATTCTGAATTTATAACACAGTATTTAGGAAAATAAAAGTTGGAAGAATTACCTGAAAGCCACCTTCATTGAGAGCTCTGGCTCCGTATGCAATCCTTTTTCCACCTTCCAGGGTTGGCCGAATGCTAGGATGGTGTTTCCACCTCTGGAACTCTCTAAATGGACTCAGGTAGGGATTTTGATAGTCTAGACCAACCTTAAAAATTTATGTTAAATTAGGCATTTTTATTTCAAATTAAATCAAGCTAAAATGTGAGTAATGTTTATCAGAAAACATGTATATTAAATTTCTTGTACTCAAAGTATTTGGAGCACTAGGTACAGTAATCCAAATTTAAATTAAAAATTATATAAAATCTGTTTGAAAAACAAATGATAAAGAAAAGGATAGCATGTATATATTATCATCAGAATTATGAAAATTTAGAACATATTAACAAGTCCTTGTGCTCTGGAATTCTAAGTCCAAATTAGAAAAACATATTCTATCATGAAATTAGAAAACAAAAATGAACATCAGCAACAAAAAAAAAATTAGAAAAATATCTGTAGGTAAGCACCTCAGATTATGTTTCTACAAAAGGAGTTGTAATGATATGTAATTTATTAATCAATACCAACTTGAAATAAACTAATAATCTATACTACAGTACTACTGAGGCAAAAATAAAGAAAAAGGATGTAAACTACACTTAGAAAAGAAGAGGAAAAGAAATATAGAAGGTTACATTTTATAAGGCATTACCAAAGTGTTGAAATTAATCACTTCTTTTTCCTTTGATACAATTAAGTCACAGCAGTGCTGATTTCATTTTCAGTGGTAGCATGCCGCAGTAGAAATGGGATTTGAAGTCAGACAAGGTTAGGCATTTTTGCCAGTAATTTAATTAGCATATATGGGTAAGTTTAATTTATTTGGACTTCAGTTTCCTCATCAGTAAAATAAAGATATACCTATTTCAGAGTTTTTACGAAACTTACTTAGATCTCAGAAAAGCATCCAGCACAGTTCCCGGAGTGTAGCAGCTACTATTACTATCACCACATGTATTTAGGAGACTAATGACACAGCAGCCATAAGCATTTTACATATTGATAAAATTAGAAGTAAGATCTAAATGAAAAGCATTTTACAGTCTTCAGATTCAAAGCCCTTGTTTTATAACACTGATGGTAATTTAACTCTAGCAGTAGAATTTTCCATAATGGGAATATAACTTACCACAAGACCAAGAGCTACTAGAGGTTCACCTTCATTCAAATGGTAGAGGAAAGAGCCTCCATAGGTATGTCTGTCCAAGGGCCAACCAACAGTGTGATCTACTCTCCCAGGTTTCCACTTCTTTTCATCAATAACCCATAACTAAAAAAAAAAAACCAAAAACAAAAAAATAAGTCCTGTAGTATTTAAAAAATGTTTTTATGTCACCACAATGAATAAAACTTGCCCAGTTTAATGTCTTACTTATGAAAATTACAAGTAAAAAACTGTAATATAAGAATACAACAAAATTACTTCAAATGTCAAAGAAGGGTGGGTGCACTGGTTCATGTCTGTAATCCTAGCACTTTAGGAGGCTGAGGTGGGTGGATCACTTGAGGTCAGGAGTTCGAGACCAACTTGACTAACATGGTGAAACTCCAGCTCTACTAAAAATACAAAAATTAGCTGTGTATATTGGTAGGTGTCTGTAACCCCAGCTACTTGGGAGGCTGAGGCATAAGAATCCCTTGAACCTGGGAGGCAGGGGTTGCGGTGAGCAGGGATTGTGGCACTGCACTCCAGCCTGGGTGATAGAGCAAGACTCAGTCTCAAAAATAAATAAATAAATAAATAAATAAATAAATAAATAAATAAATAAAAACAATTTTTTTTTTTCATGTGGATCACCTTGAATATCAAAGAAAATTATATCAAACTACAGCATGAGTCACAGTAAAGAAACAGGTCAGAAAAGTTATGAACTCTTTAAGACATTAAATAGTGTCAAATTGGCAAAGACTTTTTTTTTTTTTTTAGGAGTGGAGGTTTAATAAATAGACAGAGGGCTGGTAGAGACTTTTATGAAATTATAGAAAATTATGAAATACCACTGAAAGGATAAGGAAAAGTTTGTGGTACAGTCAGTGTTCTGTATCTTCATCTGGGAGAGGCTACATGGGTATGTTCACCATGTAAAAATTAATGTAGCTGTACACTTCAGGTCTCTTACTTTGTAACAGACATGTATTCTTCAACAAAGTAATTTATTTCCTCTACCCTGCCCCTCACCATTGAAACAAATTGTTTATCCTCTTTTCGGATTGGTAAATTTTAAATTTTAAACAATTTCTATTTGAAATATTACCTAAAAATCAGATAATACTACATGCAGACGTTATGTGCAATCTATCAAAACAAACCGTTATTCACAATATATTGAATCTAGTTTTATATAGACTTTGAACCTTTCTGAGATTTAACCTAAAATAAATTTTTTTGTTGTTAATTACTACAGGTTTTTAATTTTTTTAGAAATGGGATCACACTCTGTCACTTAGGCTAGGGTGAAGTGTGATCACAGGTCCCTGCAGTCTTGAACTCTTGGGGTGAAGTGGTCCTCCTACCTCAGCCTCCTGGGTAGCTGGGAATACAGGTGTATACCACCACACCTGGCTAATTTTTAAATTTTTAGTAGAGATGAGGTCTCACTATGTTGCCCAAGCAGGTCTTGAACTCCTGGCCTCAAGCAATCTTCTTGTCTTGGCCTCTCAAAATGCTGGGATTATGGGTATGATTAAGCAAAAGGGTTATAATGAAAATTTTACATTCTACTAAGTCAAGGATTTGGAAAAATAAGACTAAAGAATGTATAAATTGAGAAAATGTACAATACTTAACCTAGTTAAATTTTAGGTTTTAGATTAATAATACTATGGCTGAGTGTGTATTTCATAAACAAAATTATCTTCATATTACAATTTTGAAAAAAATAATTCTTTGTAGGATGTGGTCATCCTACAAACAGCATATGAATAACAGGAACAATCCTAACAGAACAGATGGCACTACAATGAAAAAAAAAGATTTAAATATTCACAAGTTCAAGACTCATTTCAAGCAACACATGATAAAACAATTCCAACATGTAAAACTAATTTAAGCATTAATGAAATTTATCAGTAATATTTTCTAGCCCGTTGAAAAATATCCCAAATAGTTTTAGTCATAATGAACAATTCAAGACAATGAAAAACTATAATTAAAATTAAATCAGTATTATAAACTACCTGATAATACAAATACATTTAAATTCCATCTGTCAAAATTAAAATTGCAAAAACAAATCAGGATACCTCCTTCAGTCCAATCCCGTAGGTTTGAGGTTCACAATTGGCTCTCAAATCAAATTTCTTATATAGTTGCTTGGCTAGATGTCCGTGGCAACCTTCCGCAAAAATTGTGACTTTAGCATGTAGTTCCAGCCCTCTCTCAAATGTTGCCTGAAAAGCAAAAATGTGTTAAATGGCAACATTTGACAATTTAAAATATATTAACATTCTGGTCAGATTTAAGTTGAACCAGGATTCTAGTGTAGAAGAGTGTACAAATGTATAATATTGTAAAAAATCATATAGTAAATATACAGAGAATCATATAATCTTACTCTTTCTTCTCTCTTAAAATACCTCATGGAAATCTTTTCAAGTCACTCTATATCTTTTTTTTTTTTTGACATGGAGTCTTGCTCTGTCACCTGCCTGGAGTGTAGTGGCGTGATCTCAACTCACTGCAACCTCCGCCTCCCAGGTTCAAGCAATTCCCCGCCTCAGCTTCCTGAGTAGCTGGGACTACAGGTACGTTCCACCACACCCAGCTATGATTTTTTTGTATTTTAGTAGAGACAGGGTTTCACCATGTTGGCAAGAATGGTCTTGATCTCCTGACCTCATGGTTGGCTTGCCTTGGCCCCCCAAAGTGCTGGCATTATGGGCGTGAGTCACTGCGACCGGCTTGTATAGCTCAAATCTTTCTCTTTAATGGAGAGGTAGTAGTCCAGATAGAGATAGGATAGATTGTCCAGCTCCTCTGCTAATGGAAAATAGCCATTCACTGTTTCCAGTTTATGCATGAACATAAACAATGTTATAAGATATAAATACTCTTGAATATACAGCTGACCCTTGAACAAGATGGGTTTGAACTGTGTGGATTCACATATGTAAGGATTTATTTTTAACCAAATGAGGATTGAAAATACAATATTCACCATGTGTAATCCCACCATGTGAATTGAAAATACAATATTCACCATGTGAAACTTGAGTATATGGAAGACTGACTTTTCATATATGTGGGTTCTGCAGGGCTCACTTTGGGACTTGAGTATGCATGAATTTTTGTATACTTGAGGGTCCTGGAGCCAATCTACCATGCACACCAAGGGACAAATGTATACACTTACAATGTTGGTGCTTTTATTCCTATAGATTCTCAGGAGTGACTCTCTTAGAGCAAAGCATAAATCTATTTTTAAAATTTTAATTGATATCATCAGATTAATTTCCAAAAAGCCTGAAACAAGGAATATATTTCCATCAGTAGTACATAAGAAGACTATTTGCCTATAGTCCACTTAGTGACAGATACAGCTATTCCTTTTACATTTTTGCTGGTGTATCAAGTGTCATAACTCACCACTATACATATATATATATTTATTTATTTTTGAGACAGAGTTTTGCTCTTGATGCCCAGGCTGGAGTGCAATGGCACGATCTCAGCTCACTGAAACCCCCATCTCCTGGGTTCAAGCGATTCTCCTGCCTCAGCCTTCAGAGTAGCTGGGAGTACAGGCGCCCATCACCATGCCCAGCTAATTTTTTGTAATTTTAGTTAAGGCAGGGTTTCACTATGTTGCAGGCTGGTCTCGAACTCCTGACCTCAGGTGATCTGCCCACCTCGGCCTCCCAAAGTGCTGGCAGTACAGGCTTGAGCCACTGTGCCTGGCCTACTATTTTAATTTTAATTTCCCTGATTACTATTTTGAGGATCTTTTCCTTTTTGATTCAAGAAATAGTGAATGAATACCTACAATGTGCTAGGCATTGGGAATATAGGGATGAATTAAAAAAAGATATGTTCCTTTTATTTGGGCTAGCCATAGAGGGAGACATTAAATAAATACATCAGTATATAATTACAAATTGTTTAAGTGCTATGAAAGAGAGCAGAGGGTATTACAAGGGAGAATAATAGAAGCCAGCTATTCTAGATTGAGAGAACAGGAAGGTCCTCTTTGAAGAAATGACATTTAACCTGTGAATTCCGAAAAAAACATATTTAAGTATGTTTTCTTATGATCGGTGGCCATTTGAAGTTGTTCTATGAATTGTCCATTTTTTTAGACTCTACCCGTTTTCCAATGTGCTATCTTTTTCTTGTCAATGTTTAAGTCCTCCTTGTTAGTACAGATTATTAAACATTTTCCCCCCAATCTACTGTTTATCCACAGACTTTATAGTGTATTTTGGTATACCGAAGGGTTTAACTTTTATATATTAAGTTAAAAAAGGTTTGTCTCTTCTTTTATAGGTTTTTAGTATCTTGTTGTTGTATGGTGGCTTATCTTACCCCTAGATTGTTAACTGTCCTCTCTTAGATTTCTTTCTGATTTTTATTGTTTTAAATCTTTAAGTCATCAGAAAACAACAGAGGACCAACTCTATTTGCTTCCAGATGGATACAGTTTCCCCAGCACCACTTATAAAACAATTCAATCTGTATGAACTAAAATATTAATTAACATTTTTCTGTTTCTTTTTAGAGGTAACATGCCCTTTAGTGTTCAAGGGACAGGCTGTAAAACCACACAACCTGTATTCAAATCCCAGCCCCACTATTTACCAGGTGTCTGACTCCAGCCAAGGTACTTAACCTCTGTAACTTAAAAATGTCCAAATCAGAATTCTGATAATAAGATGCCTATTGGAGATAGGAACCAAGAGACGGCTATAAGAAGAGCCAAATCAAAAAAAGTGTTTCAAGAAGGAAAATGTAATTCAACTGTGTCAAGTGCTACCTATTAGAAAGACAAGTCAGGGAAAACAGAGACCTGTCTACCAGATTGGAAAAAATGGAGGTATTTGTGACTCTAACAAGAGCTGTTTCAGTGAAATGGCAGGGTGAAAGCCTAGCCACAGTGGGTTAAACAGAGAATGGAACAAGGGATTAAAGAGAGTCTTTGATTTTCCCCACTCTAAACTTGTGGTAGTGCTACTTTTAAAAACTTAGATTTTTGGGCTCAAATTACTAAGACTCCATTGTATTCTTCTATGCTATTATATCTGTATAAATGCAATATACAAATTATGTTTTTACAAATGCAAAGCAGAAAATTTAAAAACCCATATATATGATATATATCTGTGTGTGTGTATATATATGTATATGCTTTTATATTTTTGTATTTTTTTACTTTTTATTTTTTTGAGATGGAGTCTCATTCTGTTGCCCAGGCTGGAGTGCAGTGGCGCTATCTTGGCTCACTGCAACCTCTGCCTCCTGAAAAAAACCCATGTTTGAACAAATGAGAACACACAAAAATGAAATATCAGAATGGTAGAATTTGTGTGCTTCAATTTTGTTATATTAAATACAAAACTATTTAAAGAATACAATACAATTTATAATTAGTTTACCATAATATAGAAAAGAACCATAATATATGAAAAACCATATTCTTTTATGATTATGATAGGCAGTATGAGATAACAGTTCTTTACAAACCTGGCTATGCTTCGGAATCCCTGGAGGCTTGTTAAAAAAAGCTTCTTAGGCCTTACTGCAAAACAGGCTGAGCCCCAAGATGTCACATGATTCTAATGTGGTCAGTTAAACCACTAGGAGTCCCAAACAGGATTTGCCATTTGCTTTTTAAGCAGGAAATGTGAGAAGCAGAAAGTCTGCTGGAAGGGACTCTAGATTCCTCACTCTATTCAAGAGTGGCAGAGAGGAGGATAAACTATCAGTTGACAAATATTTACTGAGACCTACTATGTCCCTGGCATTATGCAAGGCATTGGAGGACCCCAGGGTCTCAGACCTTAGGGAGCTTATAATCTAGCTGGGAAATGGGATAATAAATAAACCTAAATAGACAGGTTAGTTGATTGAGATGTTAATTTGTGTTTTGTTCATATTATACAGGTCAGTAAGCTATTTTTTTCCTTATCTTTTCCAAAGAGTGAGAGTTCTATGTTCTCATGGTTTTGCTTTCGATTCAAAAATATAAGATGTAAGAACCTGAAAATCACCCAGGTTTACATTTTGAATGAGAGGTGGAGAATCAGTTTTATATCTACCAAAAGATGTTAAAATCACGTCAAAGTGTATCACTATTCACCTACTGGCAGTAATGCAAAATGATTCATGTGGAGAAACAAAGGTTGTGGAAACAATTTTCATTTGATTTATTTGGTTAATGCAGTGGATTGATGACCTATAAATTTGTATATGTTTGAATTCTCCTTGCACTGGTTGTAACATATTACTGATTCTCTCCTTAACTAAATAAAATAAAATCTTTGACATGTGTTTGACTTATGTTTGTATATTTGTATGTCATTATCTTTAAAAAATATTTTAAATATATTATAACTACTTGCCTAAATCACTGTTAGCTCAAAGTTGTTTCTACATTTTTTAATGAGAAAAATTCCATATTAATAACTATATTCTAACACCCACATTTTTGAAAGTTAAAAAATTTATTATTTACTTATTTAGGGACCTGGTTATAAGACTGGCTAATATTTGTATTTTTGGTAGAGATAGGGTATCGCCATGTTGCTCAGGATGGTCTCAAACTCTTCAGTTCAAGCGATCCACCTGCCTCGGCCTCTCAACACCCACATAATTAATATATAGTTTGTAGTAAGACCTTTATTGAGTCTAAGTTCGTTCTTAATTCTTTTTTTTTTTTTTTTTGGACCTTCGAACTTTTTATTGGCCTCCTGCTCCCCAAAGGGTCCCCTGCTTCTGCTGGCTTTGTTGTCTCAGAACTTTGGTGTCATTGATCTCAGACAGCAATTTGCCATCCACTATCCAGTGGGTGGTGGTCTTTTGGATGGTTTGCATGGAGTTGCTGCTGTCCAGGGCATCACCAAGATTGAAGTCCTCGTCATCGTCCAGCAGGTGGTGGTAGGTGGTGATCTCACCCCCCAGCTTGACCTTGATGTTCAGCAGGGCCTTATAGTCCTGGGTCTGGTGCTGTTCTCTGCCCGGGTTTGTGGCAGCTCTGACTTCAGGTGCAGCAGGATCCTGTTGAGCTGCTCCATCTGCAGGGCGTAGCAGGCCTCCACTTCCCTCAGGCTATGCTCCAAGGTGGCCTTCATATTTCTCATAGAGTCCAGGTTGATCTCCAAGGACTGGACTGTGTGTCTCAGCTCTGTGAGTGTCATCTCAGCAGCTCCAACCTCGGCGGACTGCGTGGTGACCACTGTGGTGTTCTCCTCAATCTGCTGAGAGCAATGCTTGTCCAGTTCCTCTCAGTTCTTCCAAGTCAGCTCGTCATATTGTGCCCAGATGTCTGCCATGATCTTGGTGAGGTCCTGAGGTTTGGGGGCATCTACCTCCATGGTCAATCCAGAGCTGGCAATCTGGGCTTGTAAATCTTTTACTTCCTCTTCATTGTTCTTCTTCATGAAGACCAGCTCCTCCTTAAGAGCCTCGATCTCTGTCTCCAGCTGCAGCCAAGTGACATTGGTGTCATCAGTGACTTTGCGGAGTCCATGGATGTCGCTCTCCACAGATGAACACATGACCAGTGCTGTCTCATACTTGACTCTAAAGTCATCAGCAGCAAGATGGATATTGTTGACCTGCAGAACAATACAGGCATTGTCCACAGTATTTGCGAAGCTCTGAGCCCTCAAGTCCTCGATGGTCTTGAAGTAATGGCTCCAGTCTGTGGGGTCCCTTCTTCTCCAGGTGCTCCCAGATTTTGCCCTACAGCTTCCGGTTCTCAGTCTCCAAGCTCCTCACTCTGTTCAGGTAGGAGGCCAGGCAGTTGTTCAGGCTTTGCATGGTCTCCTTCTCGTTCTGGATGCCTCCCATTCCTGCCAGACTCCCCGCCATCACCACGGGCAGGCCCCCAGACTCCATGCTGCCCCGGAAGCTGGTGGAATGGAACATGGAGATCCGGGAACCAGAGCCCCTGGTGCCTGCATAGACGCTGGCGACACTGCTGACTGGCCAGGTGCCATAGCTGGGTGCATAGACAGAGTCCAGGGACCGGTAGTTGGTGGAGAAGGTAGAGCAATTGGTGAAGCTCATGCTGTCTGGGGAGGAGAGCAAGAGGACAGGACTCAGGCTTTTGCTGACCCTTTTTTTTTTTTTTAAAGACAGGGTTTTGCTCTGTCACTCACCCAGGCTGAAATGAAGTGGCTTGATGATGGCTCACTGCAGCCTCAAACTCCTGGGCTCAAGTGATCCTCCTGTTTCAGCCTCCAAAGTAGATAGGACTACAGGTGTGTACCACCATATCCAGCTATGTTTTTTTTCTTTTTTTGGAGAGATGGGGGTCTCACTTTGTTGCCCACACAGTTCCTTCTGTTTTTTTCTGTCAGTTTGTTAAGCACATAACTATTAAAAAGGTTTACCTTTGGTGCACCATCCTTTTGTATCCCGACATCATTAGTGGCAATTCCTTTTACACTACCATCATCATGAAAAAGAACCTGAAAATGATAAAAACAAATTTAATACCTTAGAATTCATAATAATCTTGACAAAACAGTGAACAGCCTTAGGTTTCTCAGAAAGTGAACATATTCTCTAGATTATAAAAATACTGACTTTAAAATGTTCAGGCAATAAAGAGACAAGTATTAAGGTACTACCTTCTAGAGTATCAAAGAACAGACCTCACACAATAGGAAATGACAACAATGCCACAACCTTGATGAGAAAGACAAGGAGCAGACTACTAGAGAGATTACTAGGGAAACCAGTAAGATTGGGAGTGCCCTTCAGATGTCAAATCATGTGTAAAGAATCTGAAATCGGGGCCTGTAACAAGTGAAGAACATAAAGGTGGAGGGAAACAAACTGTCAGGAAAGCTTACGTCTCAAATGAGCAAAGACTTCAATAAACAAGAAATAAAGAAAACAAAACAGAGAGAAGCTGAAGACAGACCACAGATGACAAAAGTTTATATCTGGAGGAAGAATAAGGGGGAAAATAGGTCAAAAGTGTAATTCTGAGGATAAGAAATATCAATGGTGTGTGACCCTTGGTTTCTGTGTTCTCTGCGGAGGAAGGTGCCTGCTGCATAGTAAAGTACAAAATGTACAGTGCAATTACACAGAGGATTGTAAGAAAGGATGGGAGTGGAGAGGAGAGGTAGTGGGAGTGGAGAGGTAAAACAAAGATTAGCAGCAATGGATATGAAAAAAATATATACATAAAGGTTTTATCTGATATCCTGAAAACAAATCAACAGCAGAATATGGCTACAGACTAGAACTGAAGTCTAGCTCAGAGTACCCTCAAAAAATCCTGGCAAACAGATCAATAATCTGTTGATGATGATCATTAAGGACCTGAGAAAAAGAAGAGAGATACAAGAGACTATAAGTGTTGATTTATGTACTCCAAAAGTGAAAATCATGGATTCTACAAACCACCTACCTGTGACTTTGACACTGATTCCAGTCAACAGTGTTTAACAAAGAGAAATACAAAATCCCAAACTTGGATCCAAAAACCCAAATGCATGTGTATGGGTTAGGAAATCAGCAATGTATAGCAGCAAGTATAATACAGGGACCTATGTCTTGTATTTGACTTACAAAGTGTAAGGGTAAAAACAAATAGAAAAACTGAACTTTCCCTAGTGTCAATAACTTTTCTTTCAGCATTGCCTTTAGCAAACTTCCAACTGTAAATCCTTTACTTATCTGAGATACATGGCAGTCTTTTTAAACGACGTTCCAGGAATGTTTTTCTTAGGGCTTTGGAGCCATCGCTTTGAAATGGAACACCAAGAAGGATGCCTCCTGTCTTCCTGTCTCTGTGGGAATTTGGCCTAGGTGTTTGGCTTTAAGTTGTAACTTCCCATTTGTCAAAAAAACAAACAAACAAAAAACCCAAGACATTTTATTTTTCCTTTGAATAAAGACAGTTAACATGTATGTAATGAATGAATTGTATCTGCCTAGCTATTTAAAAGGGTGAGATTTCTGTCTTGGCCTGTAATATGCATCACAGTCTTGGTTTAAGGCTAATTCAAGAATAAAACTTGTTTCATTCTTTTTTTAAAATTTGTGAAGAGATTTTTTTTCTGGGTACACAGAAAATTTTACTTTTAATAATTTCCCCAGTAATACATAATAATAATCAACAGTGTGATGTGGTTACCAAAAAAGTAATTACTTTGAGGGAATTAATGCAAGACCAGTTTCTAGGATGAAGATGGTAACAGTGCTGTTCTACACCAGGCATGAAGTGGCTTATTCATTCTGGGTGCCACTTTACAAAGGGGATAAAAAGAGGATCCACTCAGAAGTAAAAGAACTCAAATTACTGTCATGGCTGAAAGAAGTGAGGATATTTAAGCTAGTGCTGGGGCTCAGAACTGAGAATATTTAAGCTAGTGTTGGGGCTCAGAAGATACCCCAAAAAGAATGTCACCTTGGCATGCTGATGTTGAGGCTCAAAAACTGATATCCCAAAATATGGTGCTTTGACATGTATTACTGAAGAAGCTTCAATGTCTCTGACCTTCCCCACCCAACTGCCCCTGTCTCTTAATCCTGTGTCTCCCAAAACACAGGATGAAGTTGTTCTCTGAAGTTCCCTTATCTTCCTAAAATATGGACCCACTAAAGAAGCAATTACTTCTGGTTCCTTTCCTGAGTTTTCATGAACTCATATTGCAGGAACAATCACTGACGTCTGTCAACAAACTTGGACGGGCTTCTGTCAGAAACCACTGTCTGCTCTGTAGGCTCAAGAGACTTTGTCCCACTGTATGTTCTTCAAGCCCATTGAATTCCTCTAAAAATCATTTACTATCCCCCTAAAGTCATCCATACTTCCCCATCTCCATTTCCCCTACCAAGAAAGGCATGTAACAGTACCCCATCGTGTGGTAGGGTAATCAATCTGTAATATTCCCTCCATGCACGCTGATAAATCTATATGCCATTTCTCCTACTAACCTGCCTCTTGTGAGCTGATTTTTCTACAAACCTTCAGAAGATGAGGGGTAAGTTTTCCCTTGGTAAGCCCCTATGCTTAGCACCTGGAACTGAAGGAAGACTGTAAGGCCTCAGAAACAATGTCTTTCTTACCTTCTCTCATTCCTCTTTCTCCTCCAAAGCAAGTCACAGAAACAAGGATTCCTCTTCCTCAATGTGAGTCACAGAAACTAGAACTCCTCTCCCTCAAAACAGGCCATAAAACCTAGAAAGGTTATTTTCTGACTTCTCCCTTTCCCCTTGAAAACTCTCATTCCAGAGGCATTCTGCTCTAGCGATATTTCAGAGGAAGAAATGCTACTCAAAAAGGCCAGAGAATGTGAACAGACAGGCCTCGCCTGGCTTCCTCTCTCAATCTACCACCCTTAGATCATATGCTTCTGTCTGATCACATTTCTACATGGCTGTCTATTCTTATTGAACCTAAGCATAAACATGCTTTCCCCTGGGTCTTTGGGGCCTTTATTTCTGAAGGATATCATATTATGTAAAACTTCGCTTAAATAAATTTGTTATGTTTTTCTTGTTACCCTGTCTTTTGTCAAAGAAGTGTCAGCTGTGACCCTTATAATGGGCAAGGAAGAGTATCACGCCTTTCTGCTGTGAGGCTTTGAAAACGATATTGCACTCTGGCATGCTAAACCAGCTTCAAGGTCTCTCTGACCCTCCCCTCCGTCTGTCTTTCAACCCTCGCTCTCCTAAAGCACAGGATGCGGCTCTTCTCTGATATTCCCTTCTCTACCTTAAGACTGAACCTGTCAAAGAGAACACAATGGTCTTCCACCCAATTCCTGAAATCTTATTATTCATATCTATTGCAGAAAAGAAGACAGGAGAAAGCAACTACACCTAGAAAAACACTTTCACAAGATAATGCCTGCCTCTCAGGCTCATTCCAATTCCAAACAGACTCATTTACAAGTTAACTTCTGTCTTGGGTGCATTCACTCTCCCTAAAAATCATTTATTTCCTTTCAAGATTGCTAAACACCACATTTCCCCTTCCCCTCTGACAAAGGGTAGATAAGCATCTGGACCTCACTGGGTTACCCCGTCATCATTATCTCGTGCTTATGCGTATTAAATAAATCTGTATGCTTTTTCTCCTCTTACTCTGTCTATTGTCAGCTTATCTCTGGTGAACCTTCAGAGGGCAGAGACAAAGCTTTCCCTTAACTCCTGTACCACCCCTACAATGGGAAAGAAAAAAATCCAGAGTAAAGATAGAAAGGAAGAGAGAGCAAGAAATAATTATAATTAGAAAGTTGTCCTTGGAAGAGGGCATAGATTTGTTCTGGATAGTATAAAACTGTAGGTAATTTCTGTTCAAAATAAGGAAGAGAGTACCAACAATCCACAATTTTTCATCTCTTATGGTGATCAGTCATAAATTGGACAATCACTTGATGGGGGTACAACGAGGAATTCAAGTATTCTTTGGATTAGGTCTTTTAAAGATTCTTTCTAATCTTATAATTCTAAAATCCTATGGCTTTTAAAAAATATGTCTTCACCTTTGTAAAATTCTCTACTTATTAAAAAAAAGTTCCTATAAATATTAAAATAAAACAAAACTATACAAACCTCAGCAGCTGCATAACCAGGGTATACTTCAACACCAAGGGCTTCTGCTTGTTCACCCATCCAGCTCACTAAATGTCCCAAGCGTACAATGTAATTGCCATGATTATTCATCGGAAGCCCTATAAATATATGCTTAATTTATAAATATGACTTTTTATTGATAACGCATTACAAAAACATACTTTAAAAATTCAAATTAATATGTATTTCTACATAAGTATTATACTGAAGGCCACAATTTCAACTTATCTTCTAAATTTTGGTCTAGAGTTCTAATTTATTACATTACAAACAACATTAAAGCACTCAGCTAGAAATTCCTGGTTGGCTTACGAGGCTATCTCACTTCTTCTAGACTGGAAGACAAAAGATCTGGGTTCTAGTCCTGCCTTCCCACCAGCTAGCTGTATAGCTTTGGTAAGTCCTTCAAATTTCTGGGCCTCAGTTCTCATCTGTATAAGGAGGAAATTTCACCAGATGAAATAGAGTTCCTTCCAGCTGTGGAATTCTATAGTTCTGTGAATATTCACTATACCTTACCTGGAAGAATTGGCACAGGAATTCTATATTTCTCTGTTAAAATTCCAAACCTGTCTTCTGTTACAGGAGTGTTAAGGGGAGCCTAGAAATAAAAGAAGAAAAGAAAAAGAAATGTTTTTAGTTTATATTTGCAAGTATAAATATAAATATAAAAAACTATAAAATGTACTCTGATGAAAAATAGAACTCCCCCTAATTTTCTTTTGGCATTTCTTTTAGAAAACTTGTAACTGCAAATCCTTTCTATCTTTTTGAGATGTATGGGAATCTTTTTTTTTTTTTTTTGAGACAGTGTCTCTCTCTGTTACCCAGGCTGGAGTGCAGTGGCACAATCTCAGCTCACTGCAGCCTCTTACTCCTGGGTTCAAATGATTATTCTGCCTCAGCCTCTCAAGTAGCTGGGCTTACAGACACTTGCCACCATGCTTGGCTGATTTTTATATTTTCAGTAGAGACAGGGTTTCGCCATGTTGACCAGGCTGGTCTCGAACTCCTGTTCTCAAGTGATCTACCCTCCTTGGCCTCCCAAAGTGTTGGGATTACAGGCGTGAGCCACTGTGCCTGGCCAGCTGGGAATCTTTTAAAAATCTAAATAAACCTCTTGCCAGTTTTGCATCTCAGGAATATTATTTCTTGGGAGCCTTGGAAACATCTTTGAAATGTGACCATCATATCTTGTCTCTGGAGAAATTAGCCAAGGCGTGTGGCTCTAAGTTGAAACTTCCTGCTTGGTGAAAGGTAAGAGAAATTTTATTTTCCTTTTGGATAAAGACAATTAACATGTTCATAAATTACAACTCTGATATAAATTTTTTTAATTTAAAACGTATATAATTATTCCCTAAGAGAGAGTTATGTGAAAAGGGTTTCCTGTATTTCAGTAATTTGGGAACAACTACTGAAATACAATTACAAAAGATTAGACTTTGTATAAAAAACAATTTTTCATACCCCCTTCTCTTTCCAGTCTGGGAAGAGTTCTTTAAAAGCACTTGGATCGAGGCAAGCCCCTGAGAGAGTATGAGCTCCTATCTGGGCAGCTTTCTCCACTAGACACACGCGGATGTCCTTTTCATGTGCCGCCGCCAACTGTTTCAGACGAACAGCTGCAGAGAGCCCTGCGGGGCCTGCACCAACTATGACAACATCCGCTTCTTCTGCAAACCTTTCCATGTTCACTCCTGGGGGAAATAAAAATTCTGGAACTAATATGACCCAATAATCACATGATAGTTAAAAAACATCCACTGTGCTTTACAGCATTATTTAAGGAAATTCTCCCTGTGTTTTGTACAACAATTATACTAAGCAGAATACATTCTTAGGTTCTGTTCCAGTACATACTTTCTTTCAGTTTCCATAAACTAATTCTTGGATTTGAGATTTATTATTACACATTTAGCAAATATTTACTTGTCTAAAATACAGCCACAAGTCCCTTCATGACAGAAATACTTTCTGAGAAATACATCATTAGGCATTTTGCCCTTTTGCAAACATCATAGAGTATACTCACACAAACCTAGATTGTATAGCTTATGATACACTGAGGCAACACGGTATAGCCTTATTGCTCCTAGGCTACAAAGCTGTACAGCATGTGACTATACTGAACACAGCAGGCAACTGTAACATAATAGTATTTATGTATCTAAACACAGAAAAAAATACAGTAAAAGTACAGATAAAGGATGTAAAAATGGTATATCTGACAGGGCACTCACCATCAATAGAACTTACAGGACTGGAAATTGTTCTGGTGAGGGAGTGAGTGAGCAGTGAGTGAATGTGAAGGCCTAGGACGTTACTGTACACTACTCTAGACTTCATAAACACCATATACTTAGGTTACACTACATCTATGAAAGAACTATTTTGTCAATAAATTAACCTTAGTTTGCAACAATGTTTTTATTTTATAAGCCTTTAAATGTTTTCAACTTTTTGACTCTGTTGTAACACTTAAACAAAAACACATTGTACAGCTGTACAAAAAGGTTTTTATATCCTTTTTCTATAAGTTTTTTCTATTTAATTTTTTTTCTTTTACCGTTTAAACTCTTTTATTAAAAATTAAGACACAAACGCACGCCTACACAGGGTCAGGATCATCAATATCTTCTACCTCCACATCTTCTCCCACTGGAAGGTCATCAAAGACAGTAACATGCATGGAGTTGTCATCTCCTATGCAAACAGCAGCTTCTTCCAGAATACCTCCTGAAGGACCTGCCCGTGTCTGTTTTACAGTTAAGTGTTTAAAAATTAAGTAAGAGTATGCTCTAAAATAAGATGAAAAGTATAATACAGTAAATACATAAACTGGTAACAGTTATTTACTATCAAGTACTATGTACTGTACATAATGGTATGTGGTATGGTATACCTTTAAAGAACTGGCAGCAGAGTAGGTTTGTTTATATCACACTCACCACAAATAACTGAGTAATGTGTTGAGCTACAATGGTCTGAAAGCTATGTTCTAAACGACGTCACTAGGTGACAGGAATTTTTCTGCTCCATTATAATGTCAAGGGACTACCATCATAAATGTTGTCTGTCGTTGACTGAAGTGTCATTATGTGGCATGTGATTTTAGTAATAAGTAATACATTTGGTAAAGCCATAAAATAGTATTAGATATTTTTAAGTTATGCAAAATATAATACTTTCTCCATAAAATGAAACAAAGTATCCAGAAAAGTTTCAGAAATTTTACACAAATTATTACTTACCTTCCCATCTCTTGTCCTTATCCCTGGGATAAATGGTATAATGGGTAGTAATTTGAGGCACAATAGAATTTGAAGACCATCTTGTAGTACGTAGAGGTAGATAATTTTTCTTAATTTTTAAGGCATGAAAGCACTGATGTGCTGCAAAAAATTATGAAAATGAATATCTTCCTTAAAATTAGTTTTCCTCAGTAGACTGAAAAAATATAAATGAATGACTATACTCAATAAGTATAGTGAAATAGACTATATTCTTTCCTAGGTGAACAATTTGAACAGCTTTTTCTCATAAAGCAATGTTTTCAAATCTTAACTATTTTAAAACTATCTAATAAACAAATTTATTCAATTTAGCTAATGTCAGGCTTAACTATAAATTAGTCACGAAAGCTGAACACTTTGAGAGTAATAGGGAGCAGTATTAATAACTGTATTAGGTCAATGGCTATAAGAACACACCGGGTTTTATGGTCAGGTTCTTTTTAAAATAAGTTGACCTACACATATGGCAATATCTTCTTCTTTTTTTTTTTTTTTTGAGACAGAGTCTCGCTCTGTCACCCAGGCTGGAGTGCAGCGGTGCGATCTTGGCTTAACACAACCTCTGCCTCCTGGGTTCAAGCAATTCTTATGCCTTAGCATCCCGAGTAGCTGGACTACAGGTGTGCACCACCATACCCAGCTAATTTTTGTAATTTTTTTAGTAGAGATGGGGTTTTGCCATGTTGTTCAGGCTGGTCTTGAACTCCTGGCCTCGAGCGATCTGCCTACCTCAGCCTCTAAAAGTGCTGGGATTATAGGCATGAGCCACTGCACCTGATCACAGTATCTTCTGATATCCTTAAAAATGTATATATTTTTGAGTCAGCAAAAAGTATTTTATGGAAATGAACAGAAATGTGCAAAGATTTATCTGCAAAAATGTTCAATGAAAGTTCGCTGTTGTCCTCAAACCTTCAACTCTACCTCCTCTTTCTCTTATCCAGGGCGGGTACCCTAGCATCAAACCTCAAAAAGACAGAAACAATTCGATGGGAATTTTCTCAACTCCTCGACAGTAACTTGTAATATAATCTGTATTTGTGCCCATACTTTGTTCATTATCTCAGTTTATAGCAGAAGATATGTCTTTGCTCCTAATGACTGTATGCAATGAGTACAGAGAAACAGAATACATTCTTCTCCACTGGGGTTAATCCTTCTAGCTGGATGATGAGGCTTAGCTCTCCTGTTGTCTTAGAGACATCCTCCATCTGATACCCTCCCTTCTGATCTTCAATTGTGACTCCCTTCGCAGCCTCTGTTCTCCTTGCTAATTGTTCCTACCATTAAAAAAGGACAAAGAATCCTTCCAGGAAACCACTCTTGTCAGATATAAAAACTTATATTTGAAGCTATATTAATTATGTCTCTTAGAGGAGAAGGGATAGAATAACAAAAGAAAAAGAATACAGAGTTCAGAAATAGAAGACACATAGGTATAGGGTATATAATAAAGATGCCATTTCAAATTAGGGAGAAGAAATGATTTCTCATTAAATGGTGCAGAGATAGCGAGAAAGCCATTCAGAAAAAAAGTATACTCTGCTCCTTATGTCAAAATGAATTCTATTTGATTGAAGATTTTATTAGGGAAACTTCAAAGTATAGAAGACTATGGTGGGCTGGGCACAGTGGCTTATGACTGTAAATCTCAGCTAAGACGGGAGGACTGCATGAGGCCAGAAGTTCAAGATTAGTCGAAGCAACATAGCAAGATCTCTTCTCTACAAAAACAAAAAATGAAAAGTAAAAAAATTAGGTGTGGTGGTATGCACCTGCAGTCCCACATAGTCAGGATGTTGAAGCAGGATGATCACTTGAGCCCAGTAATTTGAGGCTACAGTGAGCTAGGACCACATCACTGTACTCCAACCTGGGTGACAACCACCTTGTCTCAAAAGAAAAAAAAAAAAAGATGGTGAAATATCCATAAATTTTTCAGTTCTCTCCTCCTTAAAGTGGTGTGGGATGAACTTATTGACTAGCTTCTAACAAGTAGAGAATACAAAGTGAAAAATGTTATTAACTTTATAGTAGAGAAATATGGCAGATACCACTGTAACTAAGTGATCAAGTTTAACATTACCAGCAGTAAGACATATTGATACCATGTATCCCCTGATATGAGGTGGTGAAAAGTGTTCTTTACCTCTGTGGTATTTGTCCCCAAAATCTTTAACCTCAGTCTATTCATGAGAAATCATCAGACAAACTCAGATTGAGGGACATTCTACAAAATGCTCAACCAGTAGACAGTAAAAGTGTAAAAGTCTTGGGACACAAGAAAGGACAGAAGAACTGTCAAATTGAAGTAGACTATGGAGACCTGCAAACTTTAAAGGCAACCTACAGCCCTGGATTGGGTCCTGGAACAGAAAAATAAGATCTGGATAAAATCTGTGGTGTAATTAACAGTATTTCATCAATGTTAATTTCTTAGTTTTGATAATTATACTATGGTTATATAAGACAGTAAAGCTCAGCAAAGGGCATATGAGAACTCTCAGTACTATCTTTACAACTCATCAGTAAGTCTAAAATATTTCAAGATAAAAAGTTAAAAAATAAAGATTATGGTGATATGAAAGTTAAGAAATATCAAACCCAAATATAAGAGCTAAAACCATAAAACTCTTTGAAAACATGAGTGTAAATCTTTGTGACCCCGTGTAAACCAAAAATAAAATTCTAAGCCCCCAATTGACTGAATGTACTCTTCCTGGCCAAGAGGATGCCAAAGATACCCAAAAACATAGTTCATACCAAGATGGGAAGTCGGGGGGTCAGACATGCCTCATTATACTCTCTTCCTTTTGGTGTTTAGACATAGCTGACTGGTATCAGCATTAATATCAAAATCCTAAGACTGACAGAACAGACTCTTTGTAGCAATAAGACACCAGCTCCAACCTGACTCTGGTATAATATTGCATGACAACGGGCCCCAGAGAAAATCAAAGTATTATACCCCAAAATATATTTCTTGGACAAAAGTTTTGAATTGGCCCTGCAAAGCTGTCTCTTGTGGGGAAAATTTATATCCTATGGAGAATTCCCTTCCCTCTCCAGGTCTTTTTCTGATCTAGGAGGGATTTGGAGTCTGATACCTTTTAAGGTAAGCTTGTCCAACCTGCAGCCCATGGGCTGCATGCAACCCAGGATGCCTTTGAATGTGGCCTGACACAAATTCATAAACTTTCTTTAAAAATTATGAGATTTTTTTTTTGTGTTTTTTTTTAAAGCTCATCAGCTGTTGTTACTGTATTTTATGTGTGGCCCAAGACAATTCTTCTTCCAGTGTGGCCCAGGGAAGCCCACAGGTTGGACACCCATTTTAAGGTCTAATAAGAGACATGTACCAGCTATTGTCTCTGAAGCCTACTACCTGGAGGCTTTAACTGCATAACAAGAACCCAGGCTTCCATAACACCTATCTTAATCCCAGGCATTTCTTTCTGCTGACTTAAACACTTTAGGCAAACTCAACTTTCAACCAATTGCGAATAAGTAAATCTTTGAATCTACCTATGTCTGGAAGGAACCCCCCTTTAAGAGGTCCTACCTTTCCAGGCCAAACCAATGTAAACCTTATACATATTGATTAATGTCTTTGCCTATAACCTATCTCGCTAAAATGTATAAAATCAAGCTGTAACCCAACCACCTTGGGTACATGTTTGCAAAACCTCCTGAGGCTGTATCATGGGTCATGGTCCTCACATTTGGCTCAGAATTAATTTCTTTAAATAGTTTACGAAGTTTGGCTTTTTCATCAACAATTGGGGTAGGCAATGGTTTCTTCAATACTGCAACCAAAAACACAAGCAACAGAAGAAAAATACAGTTAAACTGCACTTCATCAATATTAAAACCTTTTGTGCGTCAAAGGATACCATCAAGAAAGTGAAAAGACAGCCCATGGAATGGGAGAAAATATTTTCCAATCGTGTTTCTGATAAAGTACTTATATTTAGAATACATAAAGAACTCTTATATCTAGTAATAAAAAGATGAATAACCCAATTAAAAAGTAGCAAAGGATCTGAACAGATACTTGTTCAAAGAAGATATACAAATGGCCAGTAAGTACATGAAAAGATGCTCAGGGAAATGCAAACCAAAACCACATGAGATACTACCGTACATCTACTAGCATGGCTATAGTCAAGAAGACAATAAAACCACCTCTGCAAAAACTCTAACTAAGAACATTATTACAGTGAAAGAGAGCTGACCTAACTAACTCCGTCTTGCTTCTAACCACCAATAAGTCCTTGTTTGTTCCTAGAGTAGGCTGAACTAACTTTGGGAGGAACTTAATTTATAGTTTAACTTTGAAATAAAGACAGTAACAGCCCTTTTCCAGAACAAACTCCCTTCCAACCTGGGGAACAGACTGTCTTTGGAGGACTAACAAATTAGCTACAAGATTAGAAATTATGATTTAAGAGTCATGCAGCTGGAGGTGGCAAGATTCTGAACCTTCCCAAATTGCTCCTTGGGATAATATAATTATAAAAGCTAAGATCACTAATTGGGATATTTTGCAGATCTTGCACTTGATGGATCAACTGGCACCACCCACATTGATGAAATAGTGCAAGAGGACAAACTCACCTCCCTGTGATTTCAAACCTGACCTGACCAATCAGAACTCCCCACTTTCTGACACCCCCCACTCACCAAAATATCCTTAAAAAGCCCAATCTCCAAGTTCTGGGGGAGACTGATTAGAGTAACAATAAAACTCTGGTCTCCTGTACAGCCTGCTCTGTGTGAATTAAACTCTTTCTCTATTGTAATTCTCCTGTTTTGATAAATTGGCTCTATCTGGGTAGCAGGAAAGGAGAACACATTGGGTGGTTACAATAACAAGAGTTAGCAAGGATGTGGAAAACTAGAACCCTCATACACTCCTGTGTGGGAAGTAAAAATGATGCAGTTTCTTTGCAAAATAGTCTGGCAGTTCCTCAAAAGGTAAACACATTGTTTTCATATGACCCATTCCTAAGTCTATCCCTAAGATAATGAAAACATATTTCCACGCAAAAACTTGCACATGAATGTTCCTAGCTGAAATTTTTTTTTCTGGTTTTTTTTTGAGACAAGGTCTCACTGTCACCAAGAGTGGAATGCAGTGATGTGATCATGGCTCACTGAAGCCTTGACTTTCCAAGCTTAAGTGATTCCCCCACCTCAGCCTCCTAAGTAGCTAGGGATATAGGGGAATGCCGTCACACCTGGCTAATTGTTTCTATTTTTCTGTAGTCAAGCAGTCTCACTGGGTTGCGTAGGGTGGTCCTGAAATCCTGGGCTCGAGTAATCTGCCCATCTCAGCCTCCCAAAGTGCTGGGATTACAGGTGTGAGCTACCGCACCTGGCCAATAGGTGAATTATTTATAACAGCCAAAAAGTAGAAAGAACCCAAGTGTTGATCAATAAATGGTAAGAAGTGAAATATCCAAATAATGAAATATTTAGCAATAAGAAATTGAATACTGATACATGCTACCACATAGAAGAACTTTGAAAATATGCTATGTGAAAGAAGTCAGACACAAAAAGACAACATATTATATGCTTCCATAGATACAAAATATTCAGGACAGGCTAATCTATGGAGAAAGAAAGTAGACTGTTGTCTAATGTTGGAAGGGGCTTGGGAATGAATACAGAGTTTCTTTTTTGAGTGATGAAAATGTTCTAAAATAGACTGCAGTGATGGTTACAGAATTCTGACTATACTAAAAACCACTGAATTGTACATTTTAAATAGTATAAATTGTATGGTTTGTGACATATCTTATTAAAGATTATAAATGTTATAAAAAACAACATAGCCATGTATAAAAATATTATTAAAAAAACAGATTTTTGGGCCGGGTGCGGTGGCTCACGCCTGTAATCCCAGCACTTTGGGAGGCCAAGGCGGGTGGATCACGAGGTCAAGAGATTGAGACCATCCTGGTCAACACGGTGAAACCCCATCTCTACTAAAAATACAAAAAAATTAGCTGGGCACGGTGGCACGTGCCTGTAATCCCAGCTACTCAGGAGGCTGAGGCAGGAGAATTGCCTGAACCCAGGAGGCAGAGGTTGCTGTGAGCCGAGATTGGGCCATTGCACTCCAGCCTAGGTAACAAGAGTGAAACTCCGTCTCAAAAAAAACATAAAAAAACAGATTTTTTTTTTTTTTTTTAGAATCTAGGATTCTGAAAGTTATTTTTTAAGAATATGAAAAATCTAAAAAGTTATAGTATCACTGGACTAAAAATTTAAACCATTTATGTGACCAAAAAAGGGCAAAAATATAAATGTCTTTAGTTGTCTGTATTCTCCATCAGATAGCATGGTCCATAAGCATTTATCTTGTTGTATGTGGAAACCTAATGTCAGGTGGAGATATTTGTTAACTAAATATGAAAGAGTCATTTTTTATACTTTCCTTCACTAGAGTATTCACTTATGATTGGCACATGGTACTACAAAAGATTAATGCTCTTCAGATTCATTTTCTGTGAAAAGGCAAGTCTCTTAAACACTAAAAATCTGTTATTTGATCATTTTTTTAAAAGTGGCAAATAAATGAATTTGATTATGCAAACTAAGAACTATAGCACTGGGGCTGGGCATGGTGGCTCATACCTGTAATCCCAGCACTTTGGGAGGCTGAGGTAGGAAGATCACTTGAGGCCAGAAATTTGAGACCAGCCTGGCCAACATGAGGAATCTCTGTCTCTACTAAAAATTCAAAAATTAGCCAGGCATGGTGGTGGGCGCTGTGATCCCAGCTATTAGGGAGGCTGAGGCATGACTATCACTTGAACCCGGGAGGCAGAGGCTGCAGTGAGCCAAGATTACACCACTGCACTCCAGCCTGGGCGACAGGGCAAGGCTGTCTCAAAAAACCCCAAAAACAAAAAAACTGTAATACTGGTAACACTTTTTAAGTTTTAGATAACTATTCACCTAAGTTTTGAAAAAAAAAATTCATTAAATACATAAAGATACTCTAGGACTCAGTGCAAGAGTTCAAACACACCATAATCAATATTTAAAATATTTAGTTTTCAATGCATTGTAATTTAGTGTATAGAAGTTATTTACTTCTGAAAACTGATGACTGGCATATGACAAACTGTAATTCTACTGCTTGTATAGTTACTGATCTCTTCAGAATATTTGAAACTGTGTAGTCTTTCTCTAAAGGATTGGAAAAAAAAAAGTCACAACCTTTACCCCTTTTCTGAAACAAATCTGGTATCTCACTTTAGAGATTTGAATATTCAGTCTCCTTGGTCAAAAAGTGAGGTCACAAAGTCCTTTGAACTCATAGTATCACCATATCAAACTCGCACTGATGGCACATTTGTGTCTACCTCTTTCAGGCTATGAAAATGGCAATGAATTGCTATCCAAAGAAAACAGAAATTGTGGTTAGCACTGGGCCCAAGGCTGATGGCATCTAAATCCTTCTGTAAGGCAGACACCAGCTGACAACTTCAAACACCATCTATCTTATCCATACATTAAGCGCAACAACAAATACATGAGTGACATGACATGAAATTTAAACAAAGTTCTAATTTCTTAACATATGGAAGCCAAGTTTAACAAAATTCTATTTTCATGAAATTTCATAAGAACATCTTTGAATTTGTAATATTTATACTTAATGAATCACCAAAATTTAAATAAAGATTTAAAAAATTAAGCCAGTTATGACAGAATACAAGATCCTTTAGTGAACTTTTGTTTGAATTAACAACAACAAAAATTTAAGTAAAACTTTAAAAAGACCATCCAACTTCATTTGTCATGATGGTTCGAAGAATATCCATAACACGATAAAACCCTTAGAGTTAATTTTATTTTACATTTTTTTGAGACGGAGTCTGGCTCTGTCACCCAGGCTGGAGTGCAGTGGTGTGATCTCAGCTCGCTGCAACCTCTACCTCCCGGGTTCACCTGAGTCTCCTGCCTAAGCCTCCTGAGTAGCTGGGATTACAAGCATGCGGCATCACACTCAGCTAAGTTTTGTATTTTTAGTAGAGATGGGGTTTCACTATGTTGGTCAGGCTGGCCTTGAAATCTGGACCTCGGGTGATCCACCGGCCTCGATCTCCCAAAGCGCTGGGATTACAGGCATGAGCCACCGCGACTGGCCTTTATAGTTAATTTTAGACAAGGCAGAAAACTCCTGGCTCCAGATACACTCAGGTGACTTGGTTAACATATGAATGTTAACCATGATGTGACAGATAAGACTTCAATTTCTTTAGACTGAACCAGGATGGCTGCGAAGACGAAAGTCAGGTCAGGACCAAGGATAAAAACTAGGCAAATACAACTTTTTTTCCCCCCCCATTTAAAACAAAGCTTTGAGGATTAGAACCATGATTCGGGAAGCCTTAGTTCAGGAGTCCACCGAGATGTGTGTTTGTTGACCGGTGGTGGTGGGTGGGGTGTGTTGACAAGTTTTCTCCGCCCTTGACCTTTAGCCTAGATATTATTTTTTCCAACTGAGGCAACCCCAGAGAGAAGCAGCCAGGGTCCACCACCCGGCTCACAGAGCGTGACCTTTGCCCCAGATAGCCTCAGAAAGCAGATGAGAGAAGAGGTGAGAGGTGAGAGGTGCCTACAGCCCCCAGGACCGGCCTTGTCGCTTTTGCCCTAATTCCTCCACTTATCCCCACCTTACGTTCCCTCTCACCCGGGCAGGACAGCTTGGCTAGCGGCACCAGCATGTTCAAAGTCACCAGGATTCTCGGTCGGACAGAACAGGAGGAATCTCCGCTGCTCGCGGCGGGCGTTGGACCTCTAGGCCGCGGGGGGCGCCATCACCTGCCGGGAAGCAAGAACTCGACCGCAGTTCGTCTACCCAGCTCTGCCGACAGCTCTTGCTTCGCGGCGTTCCCGCCTCCTTCTCACTCTGCGCCGGCGCCATGCATGACGCGGCGGACAGCCGAGGCTTCCGGGTCATGTACCAAACCAGGGAAATTAGGGACTCCAAGACCCAGCCGGGGCGCGGTGCCAGCCAGAGCGCGGCTAGAGGGGTTCACGAATCCCACAGGACAACGCACGCGCAGTGAAAGACAGTGGAAGGCGGGGCGACGCGCACAGCTTCCTGGGAGGGGTAGTCTTCTGCACGCGCGCCCTTCCAGCCCTACTAGAGGCTCGCGCAGTAGCCTTGAGCTGCCTAAGGTGGATAGATGTCATCTGATTGGCTGTCCCGAAAAATGAAAAGTCTTTGTGATCCAGGGCTGAGACCCGTGAGGAGACGGGGCGGGATTTCGGGCGCTAGGAGGCGGGGCCACTTGGCTTTGGGCGCGAGCGGTTAAAAGACAGTTGGTGTCGGTTCGGGTGCTCGATTGGATTCCGCGGTCTCAGTCCTCCCCCATGGCCGACCCTGTGGAGCTGCAGGTTTCTTCGCCTCCCCCGCCTCCTCCTTCTTCTCCCTCCTCTGCAGACGCCTCTGCAGCATCTTTCCCCGGCGGCCCAGTGAGTTTGAGCTGGCCAGTTCCGAGCGGGAGCAGCGGCCGAAAGGTTGACCCGCTGGAGGAAGTGGAGCTGCAAATCGGAGACGTGAGTGTGTAGTTGGGACTGCGTCCCTCCTCGGCGCCTCTGGGAAGACTGGCGGCGGCTGGGCCCGCGAGGCCAGGGAGTCGGTCCCCCAACCCCACGACCGGGGACGACCGGCCCTTCTGCACCCGAGAGCTTGCGGGCGGGAAGCGGGGAGTGGGAGATGCTAGCAGCTAAACCCTTTCTGAGTGTTCCCCTTTAGATTTAGCGGTGAGGAGTCTTAAGGGTTATCCATCCACCCGCCCCACTTCTAACTGGTCTCTTTTTGTCTCGCCTTCTGGTTTCAATCATCCGCAGTAACCCGAAGCCATGCAGCTCTGCGCCGCCCAGTGCTGGCTTTTTGCCTCCTCCCCTCCCATCAGAGAATAGTTTTCACTGCATGGGTTTGCTTGCTGCCTGCGAGTGTTTAGGTTCAGACTGTGATTTTTTTCCATGGGACTTAGAGCCCGCTGTTCTAGTTGGCCACCTGCCCAGGGACAGATGATAATGCCATTGTCTGCCTCAGGCCTGCTTAGCGGTGGACCCAGCTTGAAGGGTTTAGGTCACGTGGATTGGCTTCATTAAGGGTTTAGTTCAGCACTCCTTCCTTTGTATGATTGCTAGCACTCCTCCCTTTGTAGAATGCATACTTAGTAAGGATAGTTTCTGTTAAATCTCGAGTCCCCAGAAACTAGCACCCCACCTCCCACCCCTAACTCACACAAGATAGGGAGGGGGAGAAGGGAAGTCACAGTTTTATGGTCTCTCGAGTGGGTCAAGTGGAATGAGGTATGTAGGCTGTAACCTTCTGGGAGAGCTCTGTGGCATGACCTTTCTTAAGGATTGGAAACTGCGGGATGACCTCGACTATCTCATTGCTGCGCATGTATTTTTTTAAGGATGACTAAAGTGCATATTCAGCCTTTATTTTTGCAGAACAAACTGATTGTAAGTAAATATGTAGAATTTTCTTATATATTCTTTGAATATTCTACAAAGAAATATGTAGAATGAAGTGCTAATGTGTTATTTAGGAAAAACGTTTTATTTTATATCATCAGCAAAGAAAATATTTGCCTAAAAAGTGAAATTTCCACCAGGAGCTGAGTGTTTTCTGCATTCGTGTGTGATTTCGTTGATGTTGTTTGTCAGAGCTCAGAGTTTCTGTTCTTTGATCTATACATTTTCATTGTTTAAAGCGTTCACAGGTCAATGCCCATGTTACCCACATAGCAGTAAGAATTATTTATGATGAATTCCTTCAGATACTTCTGACACTTAGTGTGAAGGGGTCCAAGTCATCTTGTTGAACTGAGACTAGTGTATTTTCACAGAAAACAACAATACTGACTTGTCATGTCTCATACATAGTGAATATTTTTCTAGCAGACCTGTTTCCTCAAAGCCTACTCAATTTTCAAACTAAAGCATTGGCTCTTTCAGGGAACCTAAGAAATATTGAAGAGCCAATGCTTTAGTTTGAAAATTGATTACTTTTAAAGAAAACAGGGGCATTGGATTCAAGGCCTTAAGCTATTTTGAGACTACTTGTAAAATGAGATGAGAATTTAAAAAATAAACTTGTTTGACTTTTTTTTTTTAATTTTAGGCAGCCTTTTCATTAACCAAACTCCTTGAAGCCACATCTGCAGTATCAGCTCAAGTGGAAGAGCTTGCCTTCAAATGTACAGAAAATGCACGTTTCCTTAAAACATGGCGGGACCTCTTGAAAGAAGGCTATGATTCTTTGAAACCTGATGACTAATTTGACATACTTCGTTGTTTAATAATGACTGTATTACTTCATACTTCTTCATATGTCATATTTGTACATTTACCACATGTATAGGATGACCTCTGTTCAGAAGTTCTGTATGCACTCAGAATGAAATTTTTCTTCGTTTTTGAATGGATGTTCAATCATAACCGTTGATTCCATAACAACTTAAGATAACAAGAGTTCCGTCCATTGGCCCACCCGTGTCTTCCCTCTTGACAGGTCTCTGTGCCACCATTTGTAGCAATGGCAGTGAGAGACTTGCTCCCGGTATTATGTTGGGGTCTTTGAAGCCTGTGATTGTTGGGTTGGTTCTTTTGGTCCAATAATTGGCTACTATGGCCAGGTTGGGAAATGTCCCAGGAGTGAGCTCTAGCATAATAGGATGGTGGAGTGCGCCAGGTAGCCCAAACAGACTCCCCATCTTGTTCTTTGCATTGGTGAGTCTCTTCTCAAACTCCACTATGTCTGTGAGGACGGAGGGGAGTACTGGTGTCCCATCCATACACAGTTCTAGAAAGGTCTGGATAGTAAAAACTGTCGTCATCGGGCTAAACTGTTGTTTAGCAACAAGCTTGACTTGATCTAAGAGCTCCTTTCCTTGAATAGGAGAGCAAATACAAACTCACCAACCCAAGGTTGACTATTAATCCAGTCTATCGTAGGCCCAGCATTGCGTGCAATCAGCAGGTTTGCACTTTCGCCATCTGCTGCCCTGCCTGGTGCAACCATCATGGCCTGGAATCGTTTTTAGACCTGAATAGGATTGGACTGGGTCTAATCACTTGACCCGATCACAACTCTGATGAATAGGTAGCAGCAGTGTTGAAGCATGGACGCCATTTCGGTTTTAGTTATCCGGTCCTGGTCAGTGACAGTCCTTTTAAAGAGTGACTGTGTGGATGTTTGTTTGCCTTCAACAATGAGCAAGCTTCTTTCACTCACACCCGCATCTATGAGGTCTTCATGCAGTCCATCAGTAAGACGGCAAACAAACAAAAGGTTTGGGGTAGCTGGATGGAAGGTGGCTCGGAATGCTGGGTTGAACATAGACTTTGCATTCCTTTCAGTGTCCTCCAATCTTCCAATTCCTGCTTGAGGATCCGTGGAATCAGAGGGAAACTGCCTGAATCTTCCACTCAATTGTGATGAGAGTTTCCTACTGGTCGTATCCATAGACATTTGTTGATCATCCATGCTAACCAATTTGTTGAGTTCTCTTCCTTTTCTTGGCTTTTGTGAAAGCGGAATACCGATGCTATTTTTGAGGCTGACCAGTGCTTGTTTATCCTTAAGCACTTTCTGCCTCTGAACTTTCATAGAATCCTTTTTGAAAGATAATCAGTAGATGGCTAATATTAATAGTGCCATAGTGCTACCAGTAGCAAACTAGCTAGACCATTAGTTATTTGTTTTGTAACAAGATGCTAAGCATGGCAGAGTTTGAAGTTGCGTTTCATCTTAAGGACCAAGGGAGGTAACTTTAAGGTTTCCAATGGTAGATGCAGCTCCATTAGGCTAAGTTGTCTACAGCTAATGATTGTGTCTTTATTCTATATCCCCAGCACCTAAAACAGGGTCACACAACACTCACTAAATATTTGTTTAAGAGTTAACAAACTTAATTAAAAGCTTTTTTTCGTCCCATATTTAGCATGAAGACTAATTGTTTCTCTAGAAAATGTATGAGTCTGACCTTTATTGACTTGAAGACAAACATTCTTTTTTACGGAGATTTGGACTTTGATGATAGGTTTTAAAAATGTATGACAAGTATTTTTTGTACTTCTTTGATTTTTTTTTTTTTAAAAGACTTTACTTCAGAAACGGAAAGACTGTCTAGAAAGAATGCGTATTTTTTCTCTATTTCTGTGGTTACTACTTTTCCAGTTTAACAGTGTTTGTATCTGATACTTGCATATGTTTGATTGCTGTCTTTAAAGAATCTTAAGGTACAAAGCATTGTTAGTATATAAGAATGACGGGGGCGCAGTGGCTCACACCTGTAATCCCAACACTTTGGGAGGCCAAGGCTGGTGGATCACGAGGTCAGGAGTTCAAGACCAGCCTGGCCAATATGGTGAAACCCTGTCTCTATTAAAAATACAAAAATTAGCCAGGTGTGGTGGCGCATGCCTGTAGTCCCAGTTACTTGGGAGGCTAAGGCAGAAGAATTGATTGAACCTGGGAGGCGGAGGTTGCCGTGAGCTGAGATAGCATCGCTGCACTCCAGCCTGGGTGACAGAGTGAGACTCCATCTCAAAATAAAGTGCCTTATCAGATTTATGGCTCTGTGCTATTACTTTCTGAGCTTTGCAAGTTGTGTACATAAGAATTCTAAAGAAGTTACTTTGTTTGCAATGCATCAAATTTAAATGATGTGATTGTTTTTGTATTATTTGACCTTAGTCTTCTATTTTGCATCCTGTATCTTATGTTGCTTTTGATACTTTGTGTGGCGTGTCAACGATTAAGCCACTAATTCTCTACCATATATAACTTGTGGACATCTTTGATACGACATCTTAATTCTTTGTAGATATGTACAGAACTATATTCTAACGCCCCACAATGGGGCTATGAGAGGGGACAGATGGATGGGCAAAGAATAGTTTTGTTTAACATATTAGGTCATAGTTCTTGATTAGTTTTTTTAAAGATCACACATAGGGTGTGATTTCTATACCAAAGATATGCTTATTTCAGTATTAGAAAAATACTCTTACATATCCTGAGAACTGCAATTTTTAAAATGTGTAAAAATTAATTCTTATTAAAAACACATTTTATTTCCATTTCTTTGGATTCATTGCCTCAAAACTTTTTTATTTTACATATTTCAGAGATATAGGAAAGGTAAATGATTTCAAGAAAATTCATGTATTTCTACCATGCAGATGTAGTAAATGTTAGCATTTGGCTGTATTTTCTTCAGACACACACACCCCGTATGTATGTAATTACAAATGTTAGATACATTTGAAGTTTGTTGCCTCTTTGATCCTGTCCCCTTCCTATTTCTCTGAGAGTCCCCAGAAGTAACCACTAGAGGTTGAGTATTTTCTAGTGTGTGTTTTTATATTTTTAATACAAATGTATTTTTTAAAAGTGCTACAAAATATTGTTTTATGTATGTGGTAGCCAGCCTCCAGATGGTCCCAGTGATCCCTGGCCTCCTGGTATTTATGCCCCAGTATAGTCTTCTGCATTCTACAGTGCTGACTTTTGTAACTACAAGGATATTGAGCAAATACATTGTGTGATTTCTGAGGCCGTTATCTTTTACTCTTTTTTTTTTTTTAAGAGACAAAATCTTGCTCTCTTGCTCAGGCTGGAGTGCATTTGCAAGATCATAGCCCACTGTAATCTTGAGCTTGGGCTCAAACAATCCTCCCGTCTTGTCTCCCAAAGCACTGGGATTACAGGCATTTTTTGCTCATTTTTCTATTTTTAACCTGTCAGTTTTTACATATTGCATGTTTTAATACTAATAATCTGTTATATATGTTTCAACTATCTTTTTTAGGCTGGTTTATCTTTGTATTTTGGTTATGAAATGTTGAATTTTTAAATTTTAATGTAATCTTACCAATATTTCATAATGATTTGCTTTTTCTAAGTTTTGTATAGGAAATGTCATAAAAATAGTATTATACAGCCTTCCAAAAGTTGTAAAATTTTTTAACATTTAGATGTTTAGTTCAACTGAAATTTGATTTTGTTTATGGCATGATTTTGGAATCTTGTTTTAATTATTTTTGCATATTTATAGCTATTCCTTCAAGTATCAATGTTTCAAGTGCAGCATCTGTCATTCAGTTACCATATAAGGGCCAGATTCTGACCTTTCTGTTCTTTTGATCTGAAGGAAATTTGAACATGCCTTCCCCAAATATGCCAATTTGCCATAGTGATTATTTCGAGCTAAAGGCACTTGAGAAACAGTAGTTGCAGAAATGGCTATCTTACCTATCCTTTCCTACCTGTAGCAAGCCATACAAACTTCTTTGAGAAAGTTGCTTTCCTGATTCCAAGATGAGAAGATAGCTCTAGTCAGCTGAGACAGCACCAGAGGAATCTACAAACAAACTTTACTGTTAGTTTCTTGCTGTATAAATTTACCTTCTTATAGTTACTGCCTCTGGAAGCCTAAAACTGCTTTCCTTGTCACACTTCTCTAAAATTTATTCTCTGTGGAAGATGCTATACAATCTAGAGTTGTAAGCCACTACTTGTGGTTACTTTTTCATTGGGTTATCTCCTGTATGATATACACTGCAAATATTAATAAAAATTAGTTGTTTTTCTCTTGTTAATCTGTCTTTTGTTACAGGGATCTGTCCCAACTATGAACTTATGAGGCTTGAGGAGAAATTAAATTTCTTCCACTACAGATATATTTACTTAACTGCGTGCTAAAACTCTGTAAGTTTCCCTGTAAGGAAAGAAAAAAACATGTTACTGATTTCTACTGAGTTATGGTCAGTTTAGGACAACTGCTGGTTTCAGGTAGTGAGCTTTCTATGGGCACTTAAAGAGTGGGTTTTTATGGTTACACATTTTTACATTTCCGTTTGCTTCATGGGAGAGGTTGGGGAAGAGCTGAAAGCATAAATGTTTTCTTTAAGACGTAAGAATTTTTTTTTTTTAAACGTAGTAAGTAGCCCATTACCAGCCCTACACAAACCACAAAGAAATGATGTAAAAAATATTTTTTGAGACAAATTCTTGCTCTGTTGCCCAGGCTGGAGTGCAGTGGTGCGATCTTGGCTCACTGCAACCTCTGCTTCCTGGTTCCAGCGATTCTCCTGCCTCAGCCTCCCTACTAGCTGGGAATCACAGGTGTGCGCCACCACATCCGGCTGATTTTTGTATTTTTAATAGAGACAGGATGTCACCATGTTGCCCGGGCTGGTCTCAAACTCCTGACCTCAGGTGATCCACCCACCTCGTCATCTCAAGGTGCTGGGATTACAGGTGTGAGCCACTGGGCCCAGCTGATGTAAATTTTTTAAAACTTCAAGAGACTAAAGTCAGTAAGATGAAATTGTTAACATATAAAACAAATGTGTTCTGTTTCAAAAATTCTGAGTATGTAAGATGTGCCAGGTACTGTGTTAAGAGCTTTATAACCATATCAGTTCTTCGAGAAAAGTGTCATTACTGTTTACCAAAAGTAAGCAGGCTGAGATAAAATAATATGCCTGTGAGTCTTGACGCTGAAATTGGTCAACACTACCCTAGTAGTCTACACCACACCTAGCCACCTAGCTAGACTGAATAATATCCAGGCTTATCATATTATTTACTCTCCCCATGAGTGATGGTTAATTTTATGTTTCAACTTGATGGCTACAGGTACGGAGATATTTGTTCAGATAATATTCTCACTTTTTCAGTCAGGATGCTTTTGGATGAAGCTAATATGTACATCAGTAGACAAGAGTAAAGCAGATTGCCCTTCCTAGCATGGGTTGTGCTCCTCCTATCCCTAGAAGGCCTGAACAGAACAAAGGGCTGACCCTCCCCCTGCAAGGGGGAATTCAAAAGGCCAGCCTTTGAATTGGCACTGGCTCTTCCTGGTTCTAAAGAGCCTGTGTGCCTTTCAGCTGGGACATTGGCCCTGCAGATGTTTAGAGCTGCCAGTTTCCATAATCATGTGAGACAATTCCTTAGACTCTTCTCTCCCCTTTTCTATGGCTATGGCAAACCCAAAATAATATGACATCCCAAAGCAGAATATTTGTGCTAGTAACTGTATAACACTCAAATTTTTTCCCCTAGGATTGCTTTTTATTTTTTTGGTAAGCTCTAAAAACCTATAAAGATCAACTGACCAAATTGGAATTGGAGGTATGGCGGCTTGTTAAAAGGTTATTACAAATACCCCAATGAGACATAATGTTGACCCAAACTAAGGTACTGGGAATTGGGATGAAGAGAGTGGATGGATTTAAGCAACGTGTATGAGGTAGAATAGGGAGGCCTGGGTGATTTGATATGTTGGATAAAGGAGAGGGAAAAGTCAAGGATGACTCCCAGATTTCAAGCTTGGGCCATAGGGTGCAATTCAGCAAGGCAGGATCTATAGGAGGAGAATCAGATGTGAGATTCCAGATTCATGCATAATAATGACATTAAAAAGCCAGTGAGATACTCAAGTGAAAATATCAGGTGGGCAATTGTATATATAAGTGGGCAGTTTAGGAGAGAGAACAAGCTGAAGGCAAAAATATGGGAATCATCAGTATATACATAGTGTATGAGGCCATATTAAAGTGGGTGAGATTGCCCCAGTCTGTAGATAAGAAAAAGGCTTAAAACAAGAGTGAATGAGTCTTCTAGTGAAAGATTTTCTCTAAAAGAGGAGCAATTTTGTAAAAATTAAACCGCTTTTTGTATTTTTGAGGTCTCTTACCTAGAGCAATTCCCTTGAAAGTTCGTCGAGTAAAATGCGTGGCATTACAATTCCAGCTGTGTATTCCTTCCACTTTGTTTTTTGCCTTCTACTTATCCATGTTTAAATTGCTAAGGTTTACCCAGTCATTTAGGAGAGATGGTGTATTAGTATGATGAATTAGTAATTCTTAAACTAAAAGTGTAAAAAATAAAAGTTGAGGTTTTCCTGATATAAATTTCAAATTTTTATTATGTTTTATTATTTATTTATTTGTTTATTTTTTGAGACAGAGTTTCACTCTTGTTGCCCACGCTGGATTGCAAGGGCATGATATCGGCTCACTGCAACCTCTGCCTCCCAGGTTCAAGTGATTCTCTTGCTTCAGGCTCCTGAGTAGCTGGAATTATAGGCATGTGCCACAATGCCTGACTAATTTTATATTTTTAGTAGAGATGGGGTTTCTCCATGTTGGTAAGGCTGGTCTCGAACTCTCAACCTCAGGTGATCTGCCAACCTCAGTCTCCCAAAGTGCTGGGATTGCAGATGTGAGCCACTGCTCCTGGCTAAACTTAAAATTTTTAAAACAACTTTGGCTTGGTTGATTTAGAGGATTGATTTGACCTAGATCATAGTCCATAAGCTACATTTCTAAGAAAATCTTGAAACAAATTGTAGTTAACTTAATGCTTCTGTTGCATTTTCTATGGAAGGTTCTAAGGAGATAGTTATGTAGTATGTTAGTAATTACTTATCAAATTAAATTAAACTGAAGTTATTCTATTTGAGGAGGTGGAAGGGTAGAATGAATGGGTGGAGGAGACAGGAAGTCAAATTCAAATGGCCTCTAGAAAGTTGTTTAAAAATATGTTAAATGCTAAAGGAAGTTTAAGATGTGTATTTTGTAAATTTATGGCATTTCTAAGATTCTTAAACAGATTAAGACCACGATTTTGTTGGGACTGAATTTCTTCTATTCATGAGTATTGCTTTTATTCTTTTTCAGTTATTCTTTTTAATAAAAATCTTTGGCCTGGCGGGGTGGCTCATGCCTATAATCCCAGCACTTTGGGAAGCCTAGGTGGGCAGATCACCTGAGGTCAGGAGTTCAAGACTGGCCTGGCCAGTAAAGTGAAACCCCTGTCTCTACTAAAAATACAAAAATTAGCTGTGCATGGTGGTGGGCACCTGTAATCCCAGCTACTCGGGAGGCTGAGGTAGAAGAATCCCCTTGAAACCTGGAGGTGGAGGTGAGCCGAGATCAGGTTGCTGTACTCCAGCCTGGGTGACAAGAGAGAGACTATGTCTCAAAAAGAAGAAAAACAAAACAAAAGCCAGTCATGGTGGCTCACACCTGTAATCCCAGCACTTTGAGAGGCCGAGGTAGGTAGATCACGAGGTCAGGAGTTCGAGACCAGCCTGGCTAACATGGTGAAACTTTGTCTCTACAAAAAATACAAAAAATGAGCTGGGCATGGTGATGGGCACTTGTAATTCCGGCCACTTGGGAGGCTGAGGCAGGTGAATTGCTTGAACCTGGGAGGCGGAAGTTGAAATAAGCTGAGATGGCGCCACTACACTCCAGCCTGGGTGGCAGAGCAAGACTTCATCTCGTGGGGAAAAAATTCCTATTACTTGGAATTAGTAATAGGAGTTCTAAGGAATTAATCTTAAAATAATCTTAAATAATTAGGCCGGGTTCGGTGGCTTACACCTATAATCCCAGCGCTTTGGGAGGCTGACGTGGGCGGATCACTTGAGGTCAGAAGTTTGAGACCAGCTTGGCCAACATGGTGAAACCCTGTCTCTACTAAAAAATATAAAAATTAGCCAGGCGTGGTGGCGTGTGCCTGTAGTCCCAGCTACTCAGGAGGCTGAAACAGGAGAATCAGGATAATTGCTTGAACCCTGGAGGCAGAGATTGCAGTGACTGAGATCATGCCACTGTACTCCCACCTGGGCAACAGAGCAAGACTGTCTCAAAAAAAAAAATTTTTTTTTTAAATTCCTTTAGAGATAGGGTCTGGCTCTGTTGCCCAGGCTGGAGTGCAGTGGCACAATCACAGCACACTGCAGCCTCCAACTCCTGGGTTCAGGCAGTCCTTCTACCTCAGCCTCCTTAGTAACTAGGACTACAGGCATGTGCCACCATGCCCAGCTAATTAATTTTTTAACTTCTAGAGATGTGGGTCTCACTGTTGCTTAGGCCAGTCCTGAACTCTTGGCCTCAATGATCTTTCTGCCTTGGCTTCTCAAAGCACTGAGTTGATAGGTGTGAGCCACTACACTTGGACGGACTGTTTTCATTGTTTATAAGCTTTTTTATTATTTACTTTTTGTAGGCTATTTTAACACTTAAAAATTGTAGCCTATTTTATCTATTTATTTATATTTTAGAGACAGTGTCTCACTATGTTGCCCAGATTGGACACAGCCTCTCATGTACCCTGGAATACAGTTTCATGCCACTGCACTTGGCTATTTTATTTATCATAGAACTATCAGTATTTATATTATTGAATATTATAAGCAGAACTATAGTTTTCTATTGTGTTCTGAGTTATATTGAAATGATACTATGTTCTTCATGTAGAAAACTTACTGAGATTATTCCAAGTAAGCAAGAAAAAACCCAAAGCAATCCATTTTTAATAGTTTTAAATTTCCAATAATTTATTTTCAAAATAAATTGCTACAATTATATATTCGATAAGTGCATATGGTTTGATTCCAGTATTTTTGTGTTTCACACATTTTTGGTGTATTTGAAACTATCTGAAAACATGTTCTTCTCCTGCTTAAAGTTTTCAAATTATGAAAGCAAAAAATTCTAATAACTCAGAGACTAGAGACTAGGTACATACAGACCTTTCCTTCCTGATACTAAGTTCCTGAATCAGTGCATTCTAGCTCTTTTTCCTTTTAACTTCTTTATTGAGATATGCCGCACACCACACATTCACTCACCTAAAGTGGGTGAATGCAACCTCTGAAGTATGTTCTTAAAACATCACGGTTTGTTGAAAAGCGTTTTTGGGCCGGGCGCGGTGGCTCACGCCTATAATCCCAGCACTTTGGGAGGCCAAGGCGGGTGGATCACGAGATCAAGAGATCGAGACCATCCTGGTCAACATGATGAAACCCCTCTCTACTAAAAATACAAAACTTAGCTGGGCATGGTGGCGCAGCCTGTAGTCCCAGCTACTCAGGAGGCTGAGGTAGGAGAATTTCTTGAACCCAGGAGGCGGAGGTTGCAGTGAGCCGAGATCGCGCCATTGCACTCCAGCCTGGGTAATAAGAGCGAAACTCCGTCTCAAAAAAAAAAAAAAGAAAAGCCTTTTTATATTTATCTTGGCATCCTTGTAGAAAATCAGTTAACTGACAATACGAGGATATATTTCAGGAGTTTCCACGAGTCTAAATGTATATCCTCATTCTAGCTTTTCTGATCTACTTCTTTGCAATACTCACACGCTCCTATTCCAATCCCATGTGATGGTGTTCATTTAAAGCAAAGAGAAACAAAAGAAGCACTGGTTTTGAGTTTCTAGCAAAGCATATTTTTTCATAGTAATAAATATGTTGTGTTGGCTCTCAAGTATATGGAGACTTAAGGAGAGATAAGATGGATTCTTAAAACAGAATATATTTTGCAAACAGTCAAACATTTTCTATGATGCAATTACACTGAGTATTCCAAAACTTTAAACCTTTATTTAAAAGTGCCCATGATTCTTGCTGATGTACATGACAGGCAAAGCTCTACTTTAAACTAGGAACTGCAGATGGACTTTGTATAGTCTTTTGTAATTAAATACCACATACAGATTGAAAAGGTTGGGCACTACTTCCAGGAATGTATTGCAATGCTATGCACATAGTAGTGGGTACTCAATAAATGCATGTTAGAAAAATGAATGAATGTTACTGAAGTAGATTTCTCTTAATTTCTTATGCAAAATATGTACATATATATAAATTATTGTTATAATTACTTCCCTTTGTAATAGCATTAGTCATTTTTATTTTTCCTCATGTCCTTGTAAACTAATTTATCTTAGCCATTATTATAAATTACTAATTTTGTGGTATTCAGTTCATACCAGTAAATCCCTCATGAAGCACCCCCACAGTATTCTCTGTGAAGAAATGAGTTTCAGAGTCAGTCATGAATAGGAACTGAGTCTAGTTGATTGAGAAATCCACGACATTTCACAGGGGTCTTGTGAAAACAGCCGGCTTCATTAACTCAGGTGGCATCTCCTGCAGTGGCCACATTTCCACCCAGATGAACGATGGAGCATATGTTTTCTGAACTTTGCTGTCCATAGACCTTCTTCGTCTGTAGTTATACCAAAACTGATGAATCGTTTCTTTGAACGGTCTTGTGGTCAGAGTATAGAGAATTGGGTTCAAAGCACTGTTGATGGGCAGAATAAAAATCACTACCCAAGAGGTAATGGTACCTAGAAAAGAAAAATGAAATAGCTTGAGTGTTTACAGATGTTTATAAGGTATAAAAACCCAACTTCCTGTTTCTTTCATTCCAACCCCTTTTTGAGTTTTAATTTTTTTTCTTTGATGTCACATAAATTAAATACCAAGTCTCTCTTTGTTTCCAGATATCTTTCCAGAGTGCCAGTGTGGGCGGGAATTCTAGTGCTGAAAAAGAACGGCATTCTTTGCTCATAGCTCTTCTTGAATATCAACCAAAATATTCCTTTAGGTAGAAATATTTTTCACACAGTGATTAGATATTTTGATTATATTTTCAGAAAAACCATATTGTTTAGCATTTAAGTCATAAATTTAAGTGTCTAATAATTAAAACACTTGAAAAGTGTTTTAATAAAGTGTATAGTATTTGTCAGAATATGTAAGCTTTTCTTTAATACATTTCTGCCATTTGATTTTAAAACTAAGTGTGCATTTTTTGGGTTTTTGCCCAGATATTTATTTCTGTAAAAATACCTTTGGCTAAGCTCATCTTAAAAATCACGCTAGTATATATACTAATACCAAAAATACTCTGCTTTTTATTATAATTTAATTGATGCTGTCATCACTCTTTGTTTTTTGTTTTTGTTTTTGAGACAGGGCTGGAGTGCAGTGGTGTGAACATGGCTCACTGCAGTCTCACCCTCCTGGTCCCAAATGTACCTCAGCCTCTTGAGTAGCTGGGACCAAAAGCATGTGCCACCATGCCTGGCTAATTTTTATTTTTTGAAGAGTGAGGTCTCAGGGTCTCCCTATGTTGTCCAGGCTGGTCTCAAGCTCCTGGGTTCAAGCAATCCTCCCACCTCGGCCTTCTTTTTGTTTTTCATAAAATGTAAGATACTATCATTATTGTCCATGGTATAGAACACAATTAAAATTATGTATTAATACATACAATTTTTTTTCTTTTTTTTCCTGAGCAGAGTCTCGCTCTATTGCCCAGGTTGTAGTGCAGTGCTGGTGTGATCTCCACTCACTGCAGCCTCTGCCTCCCATGTTCAAGCATTCTTATTCTTCAGCCTCCCAAGTAGCTGGGACTAGAAGTACATGCCATCACGCCCAGCTACATTTTTGTATTTTTTAGTAGAGATGGGGTTTCACCATGTTTGCACCAGGCAGGTCTTACACTCCTGACTTCAAGTGATCCACCCACCTCAGCCTCTGAAAGTGCTGGGATTTCAGGCATGATCCACTGGACCCCCCCCCACATACAAATTTTCAAAATATAAACTGTATTTTATATATATGTATATATATATTTAATAGGATATATGCACTTTTCATTTTTCATTGTGGTAAAATATTCACAATATAAAATTTACCCTGTAAGCATTTTTTTTTTTTTTTTTTTTTTGAGATGGAGTTTTGCTGTTGTTACCCAGACTGGAGTGCAATGGCACGATCTTGTCTCACTGCAACCTCCACCTTCTGGGTTCAAGCAGTTCTCCTGCCTCAGCCTCCTGAGTAGCTGGGACTACAGGCGTGCACCACCATGCCCAGCTAATTTTTGTATTTTTAGTAGAGACGGGCTTTCACCGTGTTGCCCAGGATGGTCTCGATCTCTTGACCTCGTGATCCACCCCCTCGGCCTCCCAAAGTGCTGGGATTATAGGCGTGAGCCACCGTGCCCGGCCACCCTGTAAGCATTTTTTAAGTGGACAGCTCAGTGGTATTAAGTACATTCACATTGCTGTACCATAACCACCATTCATCTCCAGAATGATTTCATCTCCCAAACTGAAATTCTATGCCTATTAAACAATCATTCTCCATTTCCCCCTTCCCTCAACCCCTAGAAAACACCATTCTATGTTCTATGAATCTGACTATACCAGGAACATCATGTAAGTGAAATAAAATATTTGTCCTTTTGTGTCTAACTTACTTCACTTAGCATAATATCTTCAAGGTTCATCTATACTGCAGAATTTGTCAGAATTTCCTTGCTTTATAAGACTGAATACTAATCCGTGTGTATGTACCACATTTTGTTTATCCATTTACCAGTCTATGGACATTTGTGTTGCTTCTGCCTTTTGGCTAGTATGAATAATGCTGCTATGAACATGGGTGTACAAATATCTATTTGAGTCCCTGCTTTCAGTTGTTTTGTTTTTTCTTAGAAAGAGAATTTCCACATTGTATGGTAATTCGATGTTTAAATGTTTGAGGAACTGCCATATTGTCTTCCATAGCAGCTGTACCATTTTGTTTTCTTACCAGCAATTCACAAGGGTTCCAATTTTTCCACATCTTTACCAACACTTGTCTTTTTTGTATGTGTGTTTTTTTTTTAAATAGTAGTCATCCTAATGGATTAATGCACATTGGTTTTTTTTCTTTCTTATTTTTATTTATTTATTTTTTTGAGACAGGATCTTGCTCTGTCACTCAGGCTGAGTGCAGTGGTGCAATTATGGCTCACTGCAGCTTCGAACTCCTGGGCTCAAGTGATCTTCCCACATCTACCTTCCAAAGTGCTAGATTACAGGCATGAGCCACCACACCAACCTACATGACTTTTAAATGCTGAGAATGTTTGCTTCTATTATCTCTGACAATCTGCCATGTTGTTCTCTAAATTGCATGCATTATAGGAAGAAAATTTTTTTACATTCTGAAAAAAATGCAGTAATTATTTGAGAATTGTTTCGGCCTGTTTTCCTTTCTAGTCATCTTAAGCCTGTAATTATCAGAATTTCAACACTGTGTGTAGTTTATTTTGGTCACTCATAGCTCCTTTGTTCCAATAGTAATTGTATTAATAGGCATTTATGGAAAAAAACAATTCTTCCCCAGTACCTATTATATTGAGGTATTATAGGTATTGAGCTATTATATACCTGCAATATACCTCTTATATACTATTATATACCTATAATAGCTCAATACCTATATAGATATTGAGCTATTGGCAGAGCCAAAAGTACCTATAACTCTGGCTTACAATTTTCTTTTCTTTTTTTTTTGGCTCTGTCACCAGGCTGGAGTGCAGTGGCGTGATCTTGGCTCACTGCAACCTCCGTCTCCTGGGTTCAAGTGATTCTTATGCCTCAGCCTCCTGAGTAGCTGGAACTACAGCGGTGTACCACCATGCCCAGCTAATTTTTGTATTTGTAGTAGAGGTGGTGTTTCCCCATGTTGGCTAGGCTGGTCTCAAACTCCTGACTTCAAGTGATTCGCCCATCTTGGCCTCCCAGAGTACTGGGATTACAGTAATGAGCCACTGTGCCCAGCTCTGATGTACAATTCTTTAAATTGTTTAGTGTTAAGAATTTTAATTCTTTCTTAAAAGAATACTGCACAAACAGATTTATTATTTCTTTAAGGAGAGAAAAAAATATTGTACCTGGTATTTCTACCTGAAGCAGTGAAAGAAATTTGAGAACAAAAACGGGTATCCAGCATAATGCATCAGTAAACACTATAAAGAAAAACCGTTTGGCAAGGATCATCTCTTTTTTAACTTGATTCCGTATTTCAGTTGCTGTTATGGTACTTTGATGAACACTATAAAACATGCTTGCATAGGAAAAAATTATGATGATAAATGCGGCCAAATTAATACCTATTTGGAATATAAACAGTATTATTAATGCATAGGAACATTTTCAAAACAAACAAACATAAATAAAACATATCCTTAGGTGTCATTACTAAAAATACAAAGACTATAATGTGTGGTTTTTCTTTTTCTTCATAAAGAAGAACTAAAGTCCACAAAAATCATGAATTGTTTTAGGATGAACTTTTGTGGAAGTAGTAAAGAATGATGAAATGTTTAATTTTAAAATGAGATATTGAAATGAAATTACAATAATTCAATAAACATCTTGGGTTTTTAAGCTTTCTAGTATTAGTGATGTTTTATTTTTAATTTAATTTTATTTTTTTTGAGATGGAGTTTTGCTCTTGTTACCCAGGCTGGAGTGCAATGGCGCGATCTTGGCTCACCGCAACCTCTGTCTCCTGGGTTCAGGCAATTCTCCTGCCTCAGCCTCCTGAGTAGCTGGGATTACAGGCACGCACCACTGTGCCCAGCTAATTTTTTGTATTTTTAGTAGAGATGGGGTTTCACTGTGTTGACCAGGATGGTCTCGATCTCTTGACCTCGTGATCCACCCGCCTCGGCCTCCCAAAGTGCTGGGATTACAGGCTTGAGCCACCGCGCCCGGCCTATTTTTAATTTTTTTAGAGATGGGTTCTTGCTCTGTTGCTGACTGAAGTGCAGTGGTACAATCATAGCTCACTGCAGCCTCAAACTCCTGGGCTCAAGCAATTCTGCTTCAGCCTCCCAAGTAGCTGGGACTACAGATGCATGCCATCATACCAGTTAATTAAAAAACAAATGAGAGATGGAGTCTTGCTATGTTGCCCAGGTTGGTCTCAAACTCCTGGCCTCAAGTGATCCTCCCACCTTGGCCTCCCAAAGCACTGAGATTATAGGCATGAGCCATTGTGTGCCTGGCCTAGTGATTTTTTTTCTAATTCGGTTACTTTTTGCTGTACTCTGAGAATATTTTTACATTGCTGATTTAGAACAGTTGTATGTATACCTGTAAGGCAAAGATGTTTGTGACTACAAACATAAATTTGAGAAGATAATAAATACCGTTATCTTCATATTATAAAGCAAAGAGCCAAAATATATGTTGTTTAGCATGTTTAGGGGGAATACATGAAATACAGGTGTGTGGTGTCTTTTATGAATCTGTGTCAAGTTGGAATTTATATAATAAGAGTATAATTTGGGGAGAAAAATCCTTGCTGGAGATTCTGATAAAATTCACCCTCATTCTTACTAACAAAAACTGGTTGCAAGATTTGAAATAAAACCATGTGAACATTCATTTCTTATAGTTGCTTACCAAGAAAAATCGCCACTGAATAAATCTGGCCTCCAATACTTTCTGTATGTTCCGAATGCAGAGGGAAGCATACTCCATTGGTGCCATAGTAGTTTTTGAAAAATTCCTTATTGCTCAGTGGAATGAAAGCCACTATAAACCCAATAATCCAAATGAGAATCAGAACTGTAATTGTTCTGGATTTTCCAGGTCTCAAACATCTAAAAGGATAGACAATGCAGATGTATTTTTCCAATGTCAGAAATGTTAACAGTAAAACTGATACTTCTGTGGACAGAATGGCCAAAGATCCTACAAGCTGACAATGAGTACTCTCCATCCACAGCTGCGCATGCTTATTGTATTCTCCACGAAACTTAAGGTCAAAGCCTCCGATCACGAATAAATATATTCCCATTAAGCAGTCGGCACCTAGAGGAGTCATAGTTTCACAGATTTAGAGAAATAAATAGGTATCATTAAATCATCAATAAGCCATAATACTTTTAATGCTAGAAAAAATAGCCAACTTTCTTCTATTTTAGAAAAAGGGAATTTTATTCTCCTAAGAATCCATTTACAGATTAGGATCTATACACAGACTCTTTGGTAAGTAACCACTCTCATAGCACTCTCTAGAGTTAATTATGCAATCATTTCTTCATTTTCCTTTAAAGTGCAAGTCTTTAGGAGCAGAGATCTTGTCTATTGTATTCTCTGTTCTAGACCCATCAGGTAGAAGTGTTGAATAAATGAACAAAATGCAATCATGTTGCGCATTCAATTAGGGACCTAGATGAGGATGGTATTATTTGGTTCAGCTCTTCCACTGAAATTCTCCCAACTCAACAAGCTCAGGGCATCATATAAAATCTCAGAGAAAGTAATTCACAGTTCCTGTGATAAAGACTGAATTTTGAAGCCTCTAATTTAAGAGATATGAATAATTATGAACTGCTTTGCAGTCAGTACAGTTTTAAGGGGCTTAAATTACTTACAAGAGTTCGTCTAAGCAAAGCTGTTCTCTCTTTCAATTTTTACATCTTTTTCTGTCTCTTTTTAGGCTCTCCAATCCCAGGAATTAGCTTTCTTACACTACTTGGCATATTTCTTTTTAAGCAAATGTTACATATCAGAAAGTGGGTGAGATTTTTGGACTGCGCAAGCATTCACACAAAATCCCTAAAATCATATCACTATAAATCATAAGGCTGACCCTAAGCCTTTAACACTGAAGTTATAGTCTAGGCTTCACCAGAGAAATTGAACTTACAAAAATTTTGTAGCTAGCAATATTAAAAGACTTCTGAGTTCTGTTTCTTACATAGCTTGCAGTTAAAAAAACCAATTAGACATTAGACTTTGAATAAGGATGGGGACTGTACTTGCGGGCAGCACACAGACAAAAGTAGAGTCTTGTGTAGATTGATGCTTTGCTTGTTAAGGGATCATGGATAAATTTTAGGTCACTTGACCTAGACTACAACATCCTAAGGACTGATTTCTTCCTTACTTTTCTTTGCAGTGTTCATTTAACATAATACCGTTGCCATGACATTGCAACAACTTTTTAAAAAAATGAATACTCCCTAAAAACATTTTCTTATTTACTTATCTTAGTTAGGGTGGAAAAAACTTCTAGTAGCTCAGAGATCAGGAAAACATGTAGCTGTTAAGTCAGTATCTGTGAACTGGACATACAAATAAAAAAGGAAATACAGGTGTATATATAAAATTATGACCATAGAAGGTTGCAATTTTATTTGTAGTAAAAGATTTTAGATGTTTCAAAAAAATACTGTGTCTTCGGAGCCACTGTATGAGAGACAACTAATAAATGAGAGCTTCATTAATTCATGTAAGGTGATTAAATTTCCTAGTTTAAAAGAGCATATTTTTTTCTTATTGCTAAAGTAATTCTATTTTCTTTGTAGAAAATGTGAAACCAGCATACAAGCAAAAAGGAGAAAAACGTAAAATTTCATAATTCTACCACTCACGCAACTTATTTTCTAATAATAATGCTTTTGTATATTTCAAAACTACAATTCCCCTTGAACCAGGAAATACTCACAGCAGAGAGAAATGATTGACATGGCATGCAGCTTGTTCTCAGACCTGATATAAAGTCGCATGCAAATTACAAAAATGTTTCCAAAGCAGGTAACTGCAGATACAACCCAGACAAATACTCTCTGAATAATGCTTGCCAAGAGATTCTCTAGAGATGAAATTCCATCAGTGTTTGGTTTACAGCTGCGAACATGTGGTGCATACCCACAGTACTGGAATTTCTTAAAATATCTGGTATACAAAGAGAAGGTAAAATAAGATTTTCCATTTAAGTCAGTGTCATCATACATTCATATTTACTTCCTACATTTTATCGGTAGAAAGAAAATGTCTTAAGATGAAACTGAGAGGACTAAACCATTAGGGATTCTGAAACTTTCAACTTACATCTAATTATCATTAGCTTGTTTTCACTGCTAAAGAATGTGTGGTTGAGTGTAGCAAATAGGCCTAATAAATATAACAAGTGTTAGACATGTCTTAGAATACAAACTGTTAATGTGATCAACAGAATGAATCCCTCCAGAGAAACCTTTACTGTACTTTCAGTGTTTAGTATGTGTAAATGCAGTTACACAGCTCCTATTGTTGCTGTAAGTGATTGCTTTTTAACCCTCAGGGGAACAGTTAAGTGTTTTCTCTTCTGTGCTTCAGTGGCTTTTTTGTTATTAAAGTTATGATGTTATTTCAACACCAAAAAAAGAAAAACAGAAACGAAAAAAAAAAATCTGATTAAAAAATAGGCAAATGATATGAACAGATATTTCTCAAAAGAAGACATACAAATGGACAACCCATATTTGAAAAAAAAAGTTCAACATTACTAATGATCAAGGAAATGCAAATCAGAACCACAGTGAGATATCATCTTACTCCAGGGTTGGACTTACGGCTATTATCAAAATGACCAAAAAGTAACAAATGCTAGTCTGGTGAGAATCTGGAGAAAACCGAACTCTTATTGACAGGAATGTAAATTAGCATAGGCACTATGGAGAATAGTATAGGGGTTCCTCAGAAAACTACAAAGAACTAGCGTATGATCCAGCAACCCCACACCTGGGAATCTATTCAAAGAAAAAAAGATCATATCAAAGAGATATCTGCATCCTCATGTTTATTTCAGCACTGATACAGGAGCTAAAAAGTATTTAGGCAGTTAGTGAGGGTAAGAGAGTCCTCGGTAAGCTTTCCCTTTTAATAAAAGCAGTCCCCAAATAATTTCTTTTCTAACAAAGAGCAGCCTGAAAAATCAAGCTGCAGACATAGAAAAGCAAGTTAGAAGCTTGCACAGGTGAGTGCTGGCAGCTGTGCCAATAGGAAAAGACTACCTGGGGGCCAAGCATGTTCAACATGGAGGCTCCGTCTTCCCTTTTCTTTGTCAACCATGAGTACAGTAAAGAAGCAGGCAACACAGTGGCAGCCAGATGGAGAACCATCTACATAACAAAAGATTAGGGTGGGGCAGTCAGCTTCTTCCCATGCCATGCAAATGACACACTTGGTCCAACCAATCTTTTGGGCCCTATGTAAATCAAACACCTCCTCAAGCTAGTGTATAAACAACACCGCCCCCCCCACCACTGTGCATTTCACAACAGAAGTGGAAGACCTAGTCAGGAGCCCCTCTTTCTGCAGGAGAGAGAACTTTTCTCTTTCTCTCCCTTATTAAACCTCCCATCTAATCTCACTCCTTGTGTGTCCATGTCCTTAGTTTTCTTTGAGTGAGGTAAGGAACCTTGGGTATTACCCCGGACAATGCTTCTTCAGCACTATTCACAATAGCAAGATATGGAGTCAACCTAGGTGTTGATGAACAGATGAATGGATAAAAAAAAAATGTGGCAGATATGCACAGTGGAATATTCAGCTATAAAAAAAGAATGAAATTCTGTCATTGAGGCAACAAGGAGGGAAATGGAGGACATTACATTAACTGGAAGAAGCCAGGAATAATGTTAAATACCTCATGTTCTCATATATGGAAGCTAAAAAAAGTTGATCATGCAGAAGTAAAAGAACAGAGGATACTACAGGCTGGGGAAGGTAAGGAGAAGGAAGACACAGAGAGAGATTTGTTAAACAATTCAAAATTACAACTAGAAAGGAGAGTAAGTTCTCATGTTCTATACCATGGTAGGATGTCTATAGCAAACAATAATAACGGTTTCAAATGGTTAAAAGGAGGATATTGAATGTTCTAAACACAAAGAAATGATAAATGTTTGAGATGATGGATATGCTAATTATCCTTTGTCCTGATGTGATCACTGGACATTGTATGTACCAAAACATCAGTATGTACCCCATGAAGATGTGCAATTATTATTTATCAATTGATAAAAAATAACAAAGTAATATTAAATATTTTAAACATGGAAGTGCCACAGTAACAGAAAAAAAAGAAGTTATGTTATCTGTAACTACTTGCTAACATGCCTATCTCTCATATTAGAATTTGGTACATAACAAAGTGTTCAAGAAATATTTGTTGAGTGTCTTCTTTCATTAATAGGGAGACTTCCGTTATTGATAAATATAGCATGTGGATAATTAATAATTATGACTGTGTTATCACCAACACCAACACCTTTTATTGAGCATTTCCTAGGTATTAGAAAGAAATTCTCAAATGAATTCCGTGAGGTAGGTATTAGCATTATTATAGGAGGAGATGAATTTTCAATGGAGGCAAGTTATTTGCTAGGAAATGTTCTACTAAATATGCAAACTGAGCTTCAAATTAACTCTATTTGCCTATAAAGCCATGTGATTTGGCAAAAAATAGAAATGGTCTTTAGAGTATAAAGAACTAAAGTAAGAAAAGATAACGCGGTGGCTCACGCCTGTAATCCCAGCACTTTGGGAGGCTGAGGCGGGTGGACCACGAGGTCAAGAGATCAAGACCATCCTGGCTAACACAGTGAAACCCCGTCTCTACTAAAATATAAAAAATTAGCTGGGCGTGGTGGTGCGCGTCTGTAGTCCCAGCTGCTTAGGAGGCTGAGGCAGGAGAATTGCTTGAACCCGGGAGGCGGAGGTTGCAGTGAGCGGAGATCCCGCCACTGCACTCCAGCCTGGCGCCTGGCGACAAAACGAGACTCTGTCTCAAAAAAATAAATAAATAAAAAACAAAAACAAAACAAAACAAAACAAAAAAAACTTGATTACAATTTGTCCTATCAAGGTCAAGGTCAATTGTTGATAGTTATATCCATTTATTCTGTAAACCATGAAGGACAGGAGAGCAGAACATGAGGAAGGAAGGAGTGTTGACTGCTATTTTACTTTGCTTTATGTGTCTTAGGCTGAAGCTTTGCTTTTATCAACAAATTATAGTAACTCTTTGTTGGCTACGTTGGCTGCCCAGCACTCAATCACTCTTCTGATAATAGCGCTCTGATTTCATTTGAGAGAATTACTTCTCCCTTTTTGAGAACTTGCCATGGGACCTTCAGTGGAGGCAATCCCTAGCCCCGAGTAGGTAAGTGCCCTAGGAACGATCAAGTAGATTCTCTCTCCTGGAACTCTGAATCTGATTGACACTTGGATAGATAATTCCAGTGACTATAAATTGTTCCTCAGATTTTGTGTTATACCATTTTCTTCCAATAAGTTCTGCGCTAATTTAGTCAGATTGCTTTATGTTGTATACAAGCAAGGAATCTTATTAAGCAATCTTCCTGAGATTCAAAAACAGGGTTCTGTGTCAGATTTAAAATGCAAGCAAGATTACTGAGTTGATGGTAGCTGATGACATTTTCTAAATTATTGAAGATTAATTTCCATGGCATGGATCATTCTAATAACTGCTATAAAATTACATTCAATTAAAAAATTCTTCTAAAGCAGGTGATCACAAGTATAACCAGACATATTCTTTGAAAGATTTTTCAAAGTTTACCATTTCATTCATGCACATTTGCTCCAATCATGCCCTGATACTGGGGGAAATTGAGAAAGATTTCTTCCTAACTTCCTTCGTTTGGAGCAATAATTTATTTATAATTATTTTATACTGCTTATGTAAATTCTTTCTTCTTCATATGGTAGCACTTGTACCCTGTGCTATAGTTTGGATGTTTGTCTACTCCAAATCTCATGTCAAAAGTTGATTCCTGGTGTTGGTGGTGGAGCCCAGTAGGAGGTGTTTGGGTCATGGGGTAGGCCCCTCATGAATGGCTTACTACTCCTTCCTGCAGTAATAAGTGAGTTCTCCTTCTATTATTTCACATGAGATCCAATTGTTAAAAAGAGCTGGCACCTCCTATTCTCTCTCTGTCTCTCTCTCTCACCATTTGACACACCTACTCCCTCTTGGTCTTCTGCCATGATTAAAAGCTTTCCTGATGACCTCACCAAAATTAGATGCTGGTGCTATGCTTTTCTTACAACCTGCAGAACTGTAAGCCAGAATAAACTTTTTGTTATAAACTATCCAGCCTCAGATATTCCTTTATAGCAAGGCAAAATGGAATAACCCACCATATATACAAATTACTAGCTCATTAGGCAAATGTCAGTATCTGTGAACAGGTATTAGAACTGAAGAGAACTTCTTACAAGACTAAGTGAATTCCCCTCACACTCAGGTTTCCTGAGAGTCAAAAAATCCCCTATTAGAGTCTACCAGACTGTGAAACCTAAAATCATCTCGCCCAATATCAAAGGTTTAAGAGTTAATTATTGTTTAGACTGTCTCAGTCCACTTGGCTGCTGTAACAAAAATACCATAGACTGAGTAGCTTAGACAATGAATGTTTATTTCTCACAGTTCTGGAGGCTGGGAAGACCAAGATCAAGGTGCTAGCAGATTTAGTGTCTGATGGGGGAAACACACGTTTCGTAGATGGCTATCTTCTCTCTCTGTCTTCACAAGGTGGAGGGGCAAGGGTGGCCTCCAGAGTCCCTTTTCTCTTTTATGAGACAGAGTTTTTGCTTAGTTGCCTAGGCTGGAGTGCAAATGGCACGATCTCAGCTCACTGCAGCCTCCGTCTCCTGATCTCAAGCAATTCTCCTGCCTCAGCTGAGTAGCTGAAATCACCACCATCATGGCTAATTTCTGTATTTTTAGTAGAGATGAGGTTTCACCATGTTGGCTAGCCTGGTCTTGAACTCTTGACCTCAGGTGATCCACCTGCCTTGGCCTCCCAAAGTACTGGGATTACAGCCATGAGCCATTGCCCCTGGCCCAGAGTCTCTTTTCTGAGGGGACTAATCCCACTCATGAAGGTTCTGCCCTCATGACCTAGTCACTTCCCAAAGACCCCACCTCTTCGTACCATTGCACTGGGGTTAGGATTTTAGTATATAAATTCTAGAGGAACACAAACATTCAGTTTATAGCAGGCAAGTTAGTAGAAAATATTAATAGATTGGATGCATTATCATAATACAGGTGGAAACAAAGATTAAAATCATGGTGAAAACCAATAATGATATGTACTTACATGTGAGAGAGATTCGTGAGAGGTCTAAACATCCTTTGTTGGATATTTGAAATTTCAATCCCTTCTAGGCTGCTAAAATTATCAAATTAATAATCAATCAAAAGAACATGTGTTATACATGGTAAAATAAATTGAGTTTTTGCAAAGGACAATTTAATAAAATGCTTTTAGTTAACACTTATTTTGAACAAAATAATTGTACTCAGCTCACCCACTTCCCCAAATCCTCCTCCTTCTGATTGTGTTATTTGTACACATATTATCTTCTCTATTTGAGTTTTTTAGATCCTCACAGATTATGGCACAATGCTTTGTGCCTTTTAACTACTCAATAAATATGTGTGGAATAAACGCACAGGCATTGTCTTTTGGACAGTATTACAATAGCAGAGATGTTTTACATCCTTGAAAATTTCCTAGCAGTTTTTAATTAATAATTTTTTTCTGATAAAATGTCATTTTACTGAGGGAACACTTGAGTTAAATAAACTGAAGCTTATCTTTTCTTTCTTTTTTTTTTTTTCTTTGAGACAGGGTCTTTGTCTGTGCCGAGGCTGGAGTGTGACGGTGTGAACGTGGCTTACTGCAGGCTTACCCTCCCAGCTCAAGCAATGTTCCCACCTCAGCCTCTCAAGTAGTTGGGACCGCAGGTGCATGTCATCACACTCAACTAATTCGCTTATTTTTATTTTTGTTTGTAGAGACAGGGTCTCCCTATGTTGCCCAGCCTAGGGTTGAACTCCTGATCTCAAGCAATCCTCCTGCCTTGGACTCCCAAAGTGCTATGATTACAGGTGTGAGCCACTGTGCTCAGCTCTGAAGTTTATCTTTTAAGGCAATTCTTTGACTCTAATAAAATTTTTGTCTTTTTTTGTTTGCATGGTATAAGTAAGGATTTATATAATCTAGAATATTCCATCTTGGGGTAAAAATGCTTATAATAAATTATTAAATACCCAGTGTTAAGAGAGTAATGAATATACACAGATACCTTTGAAGGGTCAAAGCAAACAAATTAACATAAGCTCCTAGTGACTTACAGAAAAATATAAAACAATTCATCATCATTTAATTTTTAATTTACAAATACATAAGATAAAACTAATTGTCTGTTTATAGTCCAGTAAGCACTCACATGTTTTTGTAGAGCTAAACTAATGCCCTAGAAATAAAGTTTATGATTTGAAAGATATATATAAAAATATACCTTGTTAGTATTTAAAAAATAATTTTATCATAAAATCATTTCCCTATATGAATACTTACAGAGACTTGAGTTTGACAAGATAATCAAATTGGTTTGCTTGAATTTTCTGGATTGGATTATAGGAAAGATTCCTGTTTAAAAAAAAAAAGCAACAATAGGTCATTTCCAAAAACTATATGAGTAAATGGAGTGATTCTCTTTATTTTGGGTTACTTTAAAATATGAACAAAAGTATAGTATAACTCATAAAGGATTAAAGACTTAAACTGTAAAACTATAAAATGACTAGAGGAAAACATAGGGGGAAGCCCCAGGACATTAGCCTGGGTGATGACTTTTTTTGGATATTGCCCCAAAAATGTAGGCAACAAAAGTGAAATAGGTGAATGGGATTACATAAAACTAAAAAGCCTGTGCATGGCCAAGGAAACAATCAACAGAGTGAAGAGACAACCTGTGTAATGGGGGACAATATTTGCAAATCTTGTATCTGGTAAGGGGTTATTATCCAAAATATGTAACGAATTCAAACAACTCAGTAAGAAAACAGATAAGCTGGTTAAAAATTAGGGAAAGGGCTTGAATCGACAGTTTTTCAAAAGCTGACATATAAATGACTGATGGGTATATGAAAAAATGTTCAATCATCAGAGAAATGCAAATTTCTAATCATCAGAGAAATGCAAACTGAAACCACAATGAAACATTACCTCACACCTGTTAGAATGATTTTTATCAAAATGATAGCAAGTGCTGAGGACAATTTGAAGAAAAGTCTGCCCTTGCATCCTGGCGGTGGGAATATCAATTAGTACAGCCATTATGGAAAATAGTATGAGGCTTCCTCAAAAATTAAAAATTGAACTACTACATGATCCAGAAATTCCACTACTGGATATATATCCAAAAGAAACAAAATCAGAATATTAAAGAGATTTCTGTGCTCCCATGTTCACTGCAGCATTATTCATAATAGCCAAGGTATGGATCCCACCTAAATGTCCATCAAAGGATGGCTAAAGAAAATGTATACACACACAACAGAATACTATTCAGCCTTAAAAAAAACCCCAGAAAATTCTATTATTTGCAACAACATGAGTAAATCTGGAGGACATTATGCTACGTGAAATAGGTCAGGCATAGAAGGACAATTACCACGTGATCTCATTTATATGTGGAATCTAAAAAAGTTGAACTCATAGAAGTAGAGAATAGAATGTGCTTACCAGAGGGAGGTGAGGAAGGACTGAGATATATTGGCCAAAAGGTACAAAATTTCAGTTAGAAAGGCAGAATACGTTCAAGATATCTATTGCGCAACACGCTGACTTTAGCTAGTAACAATGTACTGTATTCTTGAAAATTGTTGAGAGTAGCTGTTAAATGTTCTCACCACAAAAATAAGTTTGTGAGATGATGCATACGTTAATTAGTCCAATTTAGCCATTCCACAATGTATACATATTTCAAAACATCATGTTGTACTGATAAAGACATACAATTTTTATTTGTCAGTGAAATAAAGACATAGTGACAACACTGGCCTCAAGGTTGATTGTACATTTAAGTGAATTTGTTAAGATAAAACACTTAGAACAGTGCCCAGCTTGTGGTAAATAATCTGTGATTATGATAGTAATAGAGCGAGAGCTAATAAAACATGGGCATGAAGGTAGCACTGTCAAGCAAGGGAACCCACCAGAGAAGTGGCAGGGCACCCAGAAAGAGCCACACCTACTTCATATTTTGCGTAGGATCAGACGTGGTTTAAGTAAGATGAAATAAAATAATCTCATTTAGTCAAAATGTGAATTAATGGAATCATATGTCATATCTTTTACAATAAATCTTAAGAGTGACATATTGTACTAGTGATTTGTGGAACATGAAATGAAAAGCAGACCTGAAAGGATATTTATTTTATTTTTTTAGAGATGGGGACTTGCTATGTTGCTCAGGCTGTACTCAAACTCCTGGGTTCAAGGGATCCTCCTGCCTCAGCTTCTCGAGTCACTGGGACTAGAGTCACCTGCCTTCTTAAAGAGAATTGAAAGCTAAATTTAAATGGAAAAAATTTCAGAATCTTTGAAAAACAACACCTTGAAACAAGAATCATTGATTAAAGAAAACTTCTCAGGAAAATTTCTCTTTTTAAAATATTTACGCTGGGTGCTGTGGCTCATGCCTGTAATCCCAGCATTTTGGGAGGCCCAGGTGGGAGAAAGGCTTAAGCCTAGAAGTTCAATATGAGCACACTGGGCAACAAAATGAGACTCCCATCTCTACAAAAACTAAATTAGAAATAAACAAAAATATTTGCTGAAGATTAGACCATAAGTTACAAGGGGGATAGAAGGAACTGCTGGGGGAGCCACGGTTATAGAAAGAAGGAAAGAGAAAAAGAATGGCAATGACAGATGACTCTTAGAAGAAATCATACAGGAAAAGCTTCATGACACGATGCCAATGACATTTGGTGTCATTTTGGATATGGCACCAAAAGCATAAGTAACAAAAGAAGAAATTTAAAAATTGAACTATATAAAAATTAAAAACTTTTGTGTATCAAAGGACGCTATAACAGAATGAAAAGGCAGCCCATGCAAAGGGAGAAAATATTTGCAAATCATGTATCTGCAAAGAGGTTAATATCCAGAATATATAAGAACTCCAGCAATCTAACAGCTACAAAAATCCAGAACAATCCAATTAAAAAATGAGTGAACAACTTGGATAGATTTTTCTGTAAGAAGGTAGCCCAATGGCCAATAAGCACATGAAAAGTTATTCAACATCACTAATCACTGGGAACCACAGACAAACCACACTGAGATACAATTTCATATCCATCAGCATGCCTATTATCAAAAAAAACAGAAAATACCAAGTGTTGGGAAGGATGTGGAGAAATGGAAACCCTAGTGCACTACTAGTGATGATGTAAGATGGTTAAACTCCGATGGAAAACAGAATGAAACATACATTAAAAATAAAATGACAGAGTTGTATGAAACAGCAATTCTACTTTTGAGAGTAGATACCTAAAAATTGAAAGCAGGGTTGGTTGGGCACGATAACTCATGCCTGCAATCCCAGCACTTTGGAAGGCCAAGATGGGTGGATCATCTGAGGTCAGGAGTTTGAGACCAGCCTGGCCAAACCCCCTCTCTACTGAAAATACCAAAATTAGCCAGGCATGGTGGCGGATGCCTGTAATCCCAGCTACTCTGGAGGCTGAAACAGGAGAATTGCTTGAACCTGGGAGGTGGAGGTTGCATTGAGCCGAGATTACAGCACTGCATTCCAGCCTGGGTGACAGAGTGAGAATTTGTCTCAAAAAAAAAAAAAAAATTGAAAGCAGGATCAACAGATATTTGTACACCCATGTTCATAACAACATTATCCACAATAGCCAAAAGATGGAAGCCACTCAAATGTCCATTAAGGGGTGAATAGATAAGCACTGCAATATATACACACAATGAAATATTGTTCAACCTTGAAAAGGAAGGAAATTCATTTCTGCTACAACAAAAATGAAACTTGAAGACAGTATGCTAAGCAAAATAACCCTGTCACAAAAAGATAAATATTCCATGATTTCACTTCTCTGAGTATCTAGTGCAGTTAAATTCACACTGACAGAAAGTAGAATGGTGGTAGCCAGGGATAGGGGGAAGGTGAATGGGAAGTTAGTGTTTCGTGGCTAGAGTTTCAGCTTTGCAACACGAAAACATTCTGGGGGTAGATGGCGGTAATGGTTGCGCAGCAATATAGATGTAGCTAATGCCATTCACCTACACACTTAAAAATGGCTAATTTTATGTTATGCGTATTTTACCAAAATTTAAAAAATAATAAAGAAATGAGGTGGCAAAATTAACATCAGTCTTACAATTGTGACAGCTCCTTCAGGTCCTTAAATACATGTGGTGGAAGATTTTCAATCTTATTACTTCCTAAATCCCTGGAAAAATAATTGCAAATATGTCATGTTATTTTTTTTAGACTTTATTCACTGTTCTGAAATTCATTAGGAAACCACTATACAACTTTTCAACAGTGACATTGGTTGAGTTATATTAATTACCAGAAGTTTAAAAATTAAAAAAAGAAGCAAAGTAGGAAAACATAAAAATATTTTATCCCATTGCATCATCCCCTGGGAGACAAATACATGATGGTATTTGATCTGTTTTTCTTTTTTATTTTTTTGAATTGGAGTCTTGCTTTGTTGTCCAGGTTGGAGTGTAGTGGTGCGATCTCAACTCACCAAAACCTCTGCCTCCTGGGTTCAAACAATTCTCCTACCTCAGCCTCCTGAGTAGCTGGGACTACAGGACTACAGGTGTGTGCCACCATGCCTCACTAATTTTTGTATTTTTAGTAGAGACAAGGTTTCACTATGTTGGTCAGGCTGGTCTTGAACTCCTGACCTTGTGCTCTGCCCACCTTGGCCTCCCAAAGTGCTGGGATTATAGGCATGAGCCATAGCGCTTGGCCTGATCTGGTTTTAATCAATCCTATTTTCTAATTCTATTTATCTTTGTGTTGTGCCCCTTCTTACTTTTTCTACCTTTGTTCTTTTTTTTTTTAGAATAGATATACGGTTTGCAGTCTTAATTGTTTTCTTTTGCTTAGGATTATTATGATTATTACAGAAGTGTATTATTTCACGTTTGAGTTTCTTTCACAGCTGATATACACAGGATCCCATATTATCATGGGGTAGGATACTTTGCATGTCATCTTATGTATGTATAGAGGGTCTGCTTAACATGGTATGACTTTGTACCTTAGTCCTAAAAAGGTGTTTGATAGCTTTTGCGGTAGCTTTGACAGTGGCAGCTCTCATGTGAAAGGCCTCAGATTCTTTCATACAAGATAAAGTTTCAATAGACTTGAGTTCTGTAAGGTGATCACGAGATACTAAGGGAAAGTTTGACCTTTTCTTCTATTCATCTCCAAATTGTATTTGTTGCCACTGGGATAGGTAGGAGAATCGATAGATGTATTTGTTATATATGTAGTTTGCTTATAAGGCAAAGGTTAGATTTTTGACTTTAAAGGGCAGGATAATTTTAGATTGAGTTTTTAAAACTAAAAACAAGTGGCTAATATAATGTGATAAATATTATAAATGTCTTTGCTATAAACTGAACCTGTAGACTATTTTTGTTATTTACATATTTACTGGTGAATTGTCCACAAAGGTAGATTGTTCTAATCAAACAACTGAAGAAATTATTCTAAAATTCCATTTCCTTCATAAATAGATGGAATCTCCTTCAACAGCTTACTGTATCTTAGAAGACGAAATCAAAACCACACTGAATGACATAAACAGCCTTTAATTAATTAATTAATTAATTTGAGACAGGGTCTGCTTCTGTCACCCAGACTGGAGTGCAGTGGCGCAAATGACTCACTGCAACATCCACCTCCTGGGCTCAAGCCATGCTGCAGCCTCAGCCTCCTGAGTAGCTGGGACTACAGCCATATGCCACCATGCCCAGTTAATCTTCATATTTTTGATAGAGGGTAGGTTTCTCCATGTTGCCCAGGCTGATCTTGAATTCCTGGGCTCCAGCGATTGTTGCCTCAGTCTCCCAAAGTTCTGGGATTACAGGTATAAGCCACTGCATCAGGCCATAAAAAGCCTTTATATATTCAAATGTTTTGCCATTGACTATTTTTCCAGTTTCCTTGCCTATCACTTTCTACTCAAAGTAACTTTCACCATGGCCCGAATATACTTCAGTATTTTAATCCCCATGCTTTTGCACAGATGCTTCCTTCTGCCTGTAATGACCTTTCCTTCTTTCCCTCCTTGTGATCTCACATTCATACTTCTAGACTCATTCAAAGGTCATTCCTTTGTTTAACCACTGAGCCCGGGGAGGTTAAGTGTTTTGTCCTTTGTTCTCCTATACACTCCTCTTGCACACTGTTATTACAACACATATAACACACATAACATCATGTTACAACTGTTTCTGTACATATGTGCTTTCTTTCCGAAACAGCTGAGATATTTGAGTACAAGAACGATATCTATTCATCTGAGCTACCCAGTGCCTAGATCAGTTTTGGACTAGCTATTCACTCCAACCCCAGTTAGAAGACTATGAATAAACTGAGTCTATCAGCTTCATCTTTAGATAAAGCGGGGCACAATTTCAGTTCCTTGTATAGGAAGCCAAGTAAAATGTTGATTGTATTAGAAAAGCAATGTGTAAAACAGATTTAAAATAGTGTACTGGAATATTAAAATTCCAAATGTCATGTTCAACAATTACTGGTGGGAGTATGGGTTTTGGTTATCAGAGCAAATTCTGGCATATAGTTCCGACAGCATGAATCACGTAATGGGATAGTGTTGGTCCAGATCCCATGCGACATTTGAAAGGGCCATTTTCTCAGCTTAAGTTTAGGAAAGTTAGGCTAAACTTAATTGGAGTCAAGGTACATTTCTAAATGAATTCAGGAAACACCTTGTTAACTAGAGTAGTTGACTTTAAAAGCTCAAATTATGTCACCCATGTGGCAAAGATTTTTTGTCACTAGACCTACTTAAAGTCCTCTGTGACAAAGGAATCCTGATTGTCTTCATTAACTCTGTAGGTGTGAGTGAGCCTGGAGGGGCACGGAGCATAGGTCAACTCTCTCTCAAAAGGACAATTTAAAGTATAGACTCATCCAATGAAAACCATCAACTCTTAGAAAACATGCCGTTTTTGTCCTGGTAAATCTGATTTTTCAGGCAAGTGGTTAATATGGGATTAGGTGTGTTAATATCCACTTAATAATTAGCAAGACAAATTATTGGCCTTGGTTACCCCCTGCAGCTTTTGTTGTTCTTTCCTTTACCTCTGAACCTGGATTAGCACTGATTATGGACTAAGCTCTTTGAGTTCATGTTCACTGCTGGTTGTTGATATATAAAATCTGCACCTGACTACCACCATGAAGGCTAGGATTGGGAGGAACTGTCCTTTGATATTCAAATGATGATTTCAAGTGGATGAAACAAGAAAAAGTATGTAGTTAGTATCCCTTCAATAACTTGAATTCTACTGTTTAGATAATACCTCTGGATCACCCAGATGCATCTCCCCCTACTACTGAGACTACTTTCCTATGTGCTGATAATACAATTCAATTGCCATGTACCAGGAGTTGCTACAACATTGCTTGGTTCTATGTGTTTATTGAGATTCTCCTGCACATTTTGTGAACGACCACCAAAAATGTTTCAGGTACAGATAAAATGTTGGGTTTTCGATGGCTTTTTCCCTGATGTTTTGGGGCAGAATGCAGGATTTTTACCTGAGAAATGTTCCTGCTCTTGGCATTTGTATTCCCTCTACCTAGCATAAGGAATGTTAGAGTGAACCCCAAGTTTCTCTTCAAAGAATCAGTATGTTAGTATGTTCAGCTTCCTTATTCTTTAATTCTATATTTTAAAGTTTAACTTCCTTGTAATTCCAGTAAACAACTTTCTCCACCAGTTCTAATCAGTAATTCACATCTGTTTCCCTAGCCCCTGGCTCCATCCTGACTCATCCTGGTCACCTGCTCCAGTCACCTTCTTTGACCTAGGTCACCTCTGGCTACCTGCTCTGACCCACCCGTAATTGTCCTTCCCACCAAAACACCCACCCTACCACTCTAGCTCAGACCCCTGCTCTCTTTAAAATAGCCAATCAGGATTAGTCTAGCTTGTGCAGTCTAACCCTAACCAACAGGGGAATGACACAGCAGTAGGGATGACCCCTGTCAGGCATAAGTACCCCTTCCCCCCTTGTCCAAGTGTGCAGCCACCATTGCTCCATCTATAGAAGGGTGAACCACACCCTTCTATAGAATTAAATTGCCTTGCTGAGAGGACTTATCTTTGAGTGCTATTTCTTTTGCAGCATTAAAATTTTACTTATAACAGGAAAAACACATTGTAACTTCTTGAATGCTCAGGTAAGTTGCCCTGGTTGTTATTTTTATAACATTCTAACTGTATTCTTTAATTTTTAGGGAAAAGTTTTAATAAATCAATCAATATTTTGTGTAGCTAATTATCAAAACATGTAGCTCTGGCCACATTCAGATTCTTTCCAGAAAACAGATACTACGTGGGCACAGTGGCTCATGTCTGTAATACCAATACTATGGGAAGTTGAGGCAGGAGGATTGCTTAAGTCCAGGAGTTCCAGGCCAGCCTGAGTGACACAGACAGACTCTGTCTCTACAAAAAAAAAAAAAAAAAAAAGTTGGCTGGGCATGTGATGTGTAGCTACTCAGGAGGCTGAGGTGAGAGGATCACTTGAGCCCAAGGAATTCGAGGTAACAGTGAGCTATCATTGTACCACTGCACTTCAGGTTGGGCAACAGAGTGATACCCTGGCACTAGAAACAAACAAAAATGAAAAGAAAAAAATTAACACTAAAGTACAAAAGAATGGTCTGAAGGATAAGCACTTCACCATTGTTCCACATCTTATTTTATTGTGAAAATCAACTACAATGTGCTTAAACCACGGCTTTGGTTCATCATAGAATTGTTATATTGGCCTTTGGAATTACATCATTGGCATTAAAAAGGGGCATTATAAAAATAACTTCTCTCTCTCTTCCATTATTATAGGTAGGGATATTATCCACAGTAGTGCCTAATTTCCTTATGGATCCAAGATTATCCTGTAGTTTCATATCAGCAAAGTGGTATGGTCCCTGAATCCTAATCCTTCGGGAAACATAATAACAAATTTACTAGCCTGGCCAGCATGGTGAAACCCCCGTCTCTACTACAAATACAGAAATTAGTTGGGTGTCGTGGCATGTGCCTATAATCTCAGCTACTCAGGAGGCTGAGGCAGGATTATCGCTTGAACCCAGGAGGGGGAGGCTGCAGTGAGCCAAGATCACATGACTACACTCCAGCCTGGGCGACAGAGTGAGACCCTGTCTCAAAATGAAACAAAATATAAAACAAAACAAAATTAAAAAAACCCCACAAATTTAGTGTCCTTCCTTAGGAGTGGAACAAAGTGGTGTAGAATATATTTATTAACTTTATACTGGCTTTATTATGTCTTTACAGCTATGTTTCCTTTACCCCACTTTCCTCAAATATTTATTTTATATTTTAAATTTACATATATTTTGGTAAGCTATCTGAATTCCTTTGTGGCTTGAGGTGTCTATATATACATAATGTTTAGAAAGAGGAGATAAGTAATATTTTTAAAATATATAAACATGGATAAGTACAAGTGTGAAAAATAATACATCAGAAAGAAAATTCTTAACAGTGTATGTTCGGTCATACTTACAATTCATCCAGTTTCTGGAGAGGCGCAAAAGTATTTTCATTTAAGTGATTAATTTTGTTTTTCCTCATCACTCTGAAAGTAAAAAAAAAAAACGTTGTAACATTTTTAGGTAAGTGACAAGAATTACTAAAGAGAGGAACAGTCTGCAGAAACAAAGATAATGAATACACAGTACATTTCTCACATAAAGATATTTTGAAGTAGTATAAATTATCCAATTTAATTTTAATCTTAAATTTCTCAAATGTTTTAATAATGATAATAATAGAAATTCAAAATTTTAAGTGAAATGGGGAGGGAAGAGCTTTGCAAGAGAAATGGTGATAACTCCAACTTTTGAGAGTACAGACTGCGTATCTTGCAACCAAGAGCATGAGGAGTCGCTTTGGACTTGTCTCCAGTCTGCAGAGCATATCTGTCTAACAAAATAGCCCACACACTACAGTACTCCTACTCATTTGTTAGTTGATGTGATTTAGAGTGGAGGTGCTGAAGGAAGTCAACTCTTAGCTGAACCCCTTCAGAAGAATCTCTAATTTGGATTCTGAATCAGACTGTTTAACTCTTGACATTTCTGCACTAATCTCATCTGTTATCAACTAGTCTAGAGGACAAACTCAGAACTAAGTTTTATAAGGCTTTTAATTTTTTAAACATTATATGACATGTCTTTGAATTGGCCTTTCCCATCTTTAAGTATTTCCTCCCTGCACTCCAAACCGTCACCACCATTTCTCAATATTCTTGGACCTTAAAAACACAACACCTTAAGAGGAAATCCTATCTCTTAATATGGAGGGTTCCTTCAAAAATAAATATAAGTACAATAGAAAAGAAATTCTAAGTTTTTCAGATATCTATTTGTTCCATGTCCTTCAGGTGCGATTTGGTTTCCTTTGGGCAATTACTATAAACTATTTTGCATGACTTTATAGACTTTATATCAAGTCCCTGCACCTGAGGATTGCTGAACTCTGGAGAAGCGTTCAAACTGGAACTCAACAGAACCCATTGGAATGGGGATATAATTGGAGAAAACGTACGGTAATATCAGTGGGAGCTACTGTGTTGCCTATACACATGGATCCTGTGTAGTTTTCAAATATTTCCTGCCATAACAAGTAGTAAAAAGTGTATTTTCTATTGGATCATAAAACACACACACACACACACACACACCCCTAAGACACATGAAACCATTTATTATCTGCATTAACGTCCGATATAATTTATTCGATTAAATTGTTTCATTTAAAAATGCTGACAAGGGTGTACTGAATTGTGCTATATATTGCTTTCATCACCTACTTATTAGTTGCAATCCCATAGTTTGAAAAAGATTCTGGAAAAATAAGCTGTGAATGGAAGAGTTGGATATTTTTTTTATTGAAGGAAGACCTAACATCCTTTACTTTCCACAGAAAATGCCATATGAATTTAAAATAGGCCAGAGATGCATAAGAAGGAATTACACTCAATAACACTTAAAGGTTTACCTTGATGTCTGTAATTACATCCTCAGGGCTGTGAGCATTCAGCAGTATTTTGTTTTTCATTTTGATTATAACTTTTTTCACAATTATAAAGAAAAATTTAATTTATGCAGTAACAATTTGCAAAGGATAAACATTTGTATAGACTAAGACTTCAATTTAGTGCTTCTCAAACGAGATCCAATGACAGTCTCTTGCTGTTCTCTGGGATTTTTTTTTTCCATAAAATGAGTGTACATGTTACTTAAGTTTGAGAAAAAACACATCTCAGATAATATCGTACCATTTTGATGATTTGTGTGTGTTTAAATCTGGGGTTACCCTTGGTTGGAACTTCATATATTTTGGTTTCAACAAACTTCAAGTTGAGAGTGAACATTTGCCATAATTACTAATTACTATGCATGTTTATGCTAGCGTCTGCCCACATAAATGACTCATTTTATTTGTAAGAACTGTAAGAAGATATAATATTACTTCAAAAGAATAGCATATTACTTACAAAACAGTTAAATTACTGCAGGAAATAAAAGTCAAATTTCTTAAATTATGGATATGGTTGCCTTCAAAGTCCCTGGAACATAAAAATAAAATATGATACAGCTAAATGTTAATCATGGAGACAAATAATATGGTTAAAATTATTTGCCTTCTAGTAAAATACATTTTGTTACATACTGTTAATTTCATATAGACTATCACTTGTAGCCACTTTGATAACAGCTGAAATCATATATATATATAATATCTATATTATACCCTTTTTTCGATGTTAATAGTAAAAATGTTTTTCTTCTCATCTGTGTCATGAGTTCATATGGGCATGTTGAAACGGAGTCTCGCTCTGTCACCTGGGCTGGAGTGCAATGGCGCATTCTCGGGTCACTGCAACCTCCTCCTCCAGGGTTCAAGCGAGTCTCCTCCCTCAGCTTCTCGAGTAGCTGGGATTACAGGTGCCTGCCATCATGCCTGGTTAATTTTTGTATTTTTAGTAGAGACGGGGTTTCACCACGTTGGTCAGGCTGGTCTCCAACTCCTGACCTCAGGTGATCCACCTGCCTGGGCCTCCCAAAGTGCTGGGATTACAGGCGTGAGCCACCGTGCCTGGCCTGGGCATGTATATTCTGAGAAACTGAAAGAACAAGAAGTCAAATCGAAAACATTTGTTATGGTAAATACCAAATTTATAACAGATAGTTTATAATGAACCATATTAAACATTTGTCCAAAGTTACCAACGGCATGTCCCTGAGTGGTGCAATTTTATTTTGCTACCATCTGCATAAGATTCTATTGTTGTTGCAAAAGCTGCTACTGCCAAAACAATATTTAGCTCCTACCTTTCCAGCCTAATCACTCCGCAGAAAAAAATCCTCTATAATCTTTATAGAGGATTAGGAATACCCTTATTTGCTTTTTTATATTGTCACAAAGGCCAGTGCAAATGGAGAGCAAACAGCAGACTGCCTTAGGTTCCGCGTTGCCAATTCAGAGAGCTGTCTTTATATGTATATATATATATATTCCTCCTGGGGTTCCCTTGCTGTATGATGCCTATGTCACCATAAACTCCTTATGGTCTAAGCATCAAAATTTATCAAAAATTTTATGGTTTACTGTCTCTTCATGGTTATCCTGAAGTTACTCTTTTATTGTACCTTTTCTTTTATAAGTGAATGTATGGTGGAAGTTTATAGAGCAGAGGAAGAGAGCTGAGGTTTAGAAATAGGCTTTTAAAAGTAAATGTGGCCCTCAAATCTATTCAGTCTCTTCTAACACTCAGTTTACTGGTCGCCATGTAACATAAGGCTAGTCGGGAATAATTGTGACTAAAACATGTGAGCAGAAGTGTGATACAGCTATTAAAATCTGAAAGAAAATATGGAAAGCGTTAATAGAAATGCCTATACTCGACGGACGACATGTGAGTCAGTTTTATTTAGGTGCCACATTAAAAATGGATGCTGACAAATCAAATATATCCGGAAAATCTGGAAGACCAGGATGTATGGTATCTAGAGATCAAGGCAATTGAAGAATACAGGGTGTATTTATAACACAAACAAGATAAGAGAGAGATAGTTGAAGTCAGGCTACAGAATATATCGGGGGTTTTCTATGTTGCATTGGATTGCAAAATTAGATTTACTAATTGAGGGACATAAAACGTTTCAAATTTAAAGCCAATTTAAACCTCTCTGGCAATCTATGATATCCAGAGAAGAAGTTTCTTTTTACTACAGGTATTTAACACAGCGTATCATATCTCTATAGTTTTGTAGACAGGATTTTTGTACTACATGGGATATTATATTAGAATCTTAAATGTGGATTCTAGATCACCCTTCCAAAGAGAAATTTCTGTTAGTCTATTAAGTTGGTAGCTAAGCACTTATATTGCTCCATTTTTTGGTCTTAGGTTTGGCTAAGGCTTTTGGCCTCTCCTAATGAATGTTGTCCATGACAGGGACTGGCCATTTCCTTCTATTTGATTTCTAATCATTACCACGAATCCACCACCAGGTGGTGATGCTCTCTTAGGTCTCACAAAATGCTCTTGAGGTGAGTTGATGTTCGTACTTATGTAACTGCTTTCTATTAAGCCGGCAAAAATATTTGTTAGTACTAATTTACTAATTTGTGAAAATCAAAAAGAGGCACATATTGGGGCACAAATTGAGGACATTTGATTATATTGGTAGTTTAATTTTGAGTTTATTTTAACCTTGAATTATATATTGACTGTTTTTTCCCTCCTGAGTTAATACTAAAAACATTTGGAGTCACATTTGTATAATGTGTTTCTATGGGCATGTATATGAGCATGCATATGAATGAATATGTATATTCTCTTTCTAGTTAGGGGTTTTAGTCCTTGATAAATAGGAATCTGGTTTGTGACATACATCTTAGCTAAAGGAAAAACAACAACAATAAAATCAAAGTAACAGCAAAAAATGTTTCCTGCTCCCTAGCTCCAAGCTTTAATGGAGTTAACAAAGGGGTGGGGTTTTTTTTCCTGTGTTTAAACTACCACTCTTGCTATCTAATGAGCTTCTGACCTAACCATTTTATTTTTCCCTTTATACCTGATAGAATTGGACAAAAGTGAAAACTTTGATAGTTCTTCAATCTGAATAACAACAATAAAAAAAGACAAAACTTATAATCTTGTCTATTCTCCCTCAACTTGTCCCTTAGTGGCATTCAAAACATGCAGATTTTACCCTCTATCTACTTCCTGCTCTACCTTTTAAACATTTCTGGCTCTTGGCTGGGCGCGGTGGCTCACGCCTGTAATCCCAGCACTTTGGGAGGCCGAGGTGGGTGGATCATGAGGTCAAGAGATCGAGACCATCCTGGTCAACATGGTGAAACCCTGTCTCTAATGAAAATACAAAAAATTAACTGGGCATAGTGGCGCGTGCCTGTAATCCCAGCTACTCAGGGGGCTGAGGCAGGAGGATTGCCTGAACCTAGGAGGCGGAGGTTGCGGTGAGCCGAGATTGCGCCATTGCACTTCAGCCTGGGTAACAAGAGCGAAACTCCGCCTCAAAAAACAAAACAAAACAAAACAACAACAACAAAAACACAGAAAAATTTCTGGCTCCTATTTAACAGAGAAAATTGAGATGATGAAGAAGGGAAAAGCCCTTGACTTGCTGCCCAGCATCTATAAACTTACCTGTAAATGCACCTGGTCTCCTTCTCAGAGGAAGAGATGACCCTTCTCCTGTTTTAGGCTAATCCCTCCATCTGTTTTCTTGAGTTTGGTTTGTGTATGTGTATGTCCTAAAATATATGGTCAATTTTGGTGAATGTTCTTTGGGCATTCTTTGCTTTCAAGTTTATATCTAATAGGATTAGGTGCAGGTACATATGACAGAGACCCATCTATAATAGCATAAATACACAGAGATGTTGGTGTTTTTTCCCCCAAGAAAAAAAAAATATAGAGTTGGGCAGTTCAGGGCTGATATGGTTGTTTTACAAAGTTGTTAGAAACCCAGGAACTTTCTTTCTTTTTTTTAAATTATACTTTAAGTTCTGGGGTCCATGTGCAGAACGTGCAGGTTTGTTACATAGGCATACATGTGCCATGGTGGTTTGCTGCACCCTTCAACCCGCCATCTACATTAGGTATTTCATCTAATGCTATGCCTCCCCCTGCCTGCCTGCCCTCGACAGGCCCCGGTGTGTGACATTCCTCTCCCTGTGTCCATCTGTTCTCACTGTTCAGCTCCTACCTATGAGTGAGAACATGCGGTATTTGGTTTTCTGTTCTTGGGTTAGTTTGCTGAGAATGATGGAAACCCAGAATCTTTCACATTCACTGATCACATGCCCTTGTCTTCATGCCACGAGATGTTGCTAAAGCTCAAGCCATCATATTCGTTTTTTTTTTTTTTTTTTTTTTGAGACAGAGTTTCGCTCTTGTTACCCAGGCTGGAGTGCAATGGCGGGATCTCGGCTCACCGCAACCTCCGCCTCCTGGGTTCAGGCAATTCTCCTGCCTCAGCCTCCTGAGTAGCTGGGATTACAGGCATGCGCCACCATGCCCAGCTAATTTTTTTTATTTTTAGTAGAGACGGGGTTTCACCGTGTTGACCAGGATGGTCTCGATCTCTTGACCTCATGATCCACCCACCTCGGCCTCCCAAAGTGCTGGGACTACAGGTGTGAGCCACCGCACCCGGCCTTTTTTTTTTTTTTTTTTTTCTGGATAAAGAAGGAAAAGAAAGGACCTGCATCTTTCTCCTTAAAGAGATTTTCCTGCAGTTCTGAACGATAATATTTCTACCTCCCTAGCCAGAACTTAGACACACGCTATATGTGGATCCAGGGAAGTCTCGGAATGTAATATTTTAGCTGGTTACATTGCTGTCCCAAAGAAAGCCTGAGAAGGGGCATTGCAATTTGATACCCACTGATTAGAATTAACTTATTAAGTTATGTTATTTATTATGGTTCTACTTGATCTTTTATGGTCTGAGAAGTGGTGGATTATCTCTTACTGCTTACGTATGTCTACATTTCTTTTTCTTTCTTTCTTTTTTTTTTTTTTTTGAGATGGAGTTTCGCTCTTGTTACCCAGGCTGGCGTGTAATGGCTCGATCTCGGCTCACCGCAACCTCCGCCTCCTGGGTTCAGGCAATTCTCCTGCCTCAGCCTCCTGAGTAGCTGGGATTACAGGCACGCGCCACCATGCCCAGTTAATTTTTTGTATTTTTAGTAGAGGTGGGGTTTCACCGTGTTGACCAGGATGGTCTCGATCTCTTGACCTCGCGATCCACCCGCCTCGGCCTCCCAAAGTGCTGGGATTACAGGCCTGACCCACCGCGCCAGGCCCGTATGTCTACATTTCTTTCATTTTGGTTGCTATATTAGTTTCTTTGGTGTGTATACACTCATAATGTAATATCTTTTACTGGAAATTGCAGTTATAGCATTAAAATGTCATTGTGATGTTTAATGCACATCAGAATTCCACCTGCTTAGATCAAATATATGGTGCCTGCTTTCTTTTGTTTGCAATTACATGACATACTTAAAAAAATTATATATTTTTAAGAT